CCAAGTTCCTCCTCCAATAAGCTAGACCGTAGGAGGCACTTGATTTGCAGAACAATTTTGACATATTGGGATGGGCTCAGATGTTGGACTTGTTGAGTTCGGCACACCACCTCTGCCGGCGAGCCTCCGACAAAAGTTTCCCGGCGTCGGCAATCCAATCGTTCCGGGTCTTGGACCAGCGAGCCAAAGCACGGAGTTGGTTACCCTCTGCCCCGATGTGAGGTCACGGGCACTGGGCTGTTCCTCAAACTCGGGCCAATTTACAGCCTTTGTTGAAAACGCTCCAGGCTGTATGATCATCCCAAGGTATCAGGTTTGAGGTTGCACATCTCAACGCTGTGTGGGAAACTTAAGCCAGAGTGAATTTTTCTTCAGCAAGCGCAAAAGCGACCCAGTGGGCGTCCTTCATGCAAACGAATTCGCCCGAAGCCCCTTTGGGGCGAGACATTGTCTCTCGGGCAGTTGGTCACCCTGCTACGGCAAAACTACAGCTCAAAAGCTGGGAAGTGGTGCACCCACAGGCCATCTACAGGGAACTATGTTACAGCTACTGACACAGCTACTCAGCAGGAAGGAGTTGCGACCTCAGCGAACTTCCTCCCCCAAGAGTCCCAGAGTGTTACATATCTGGTCAAAACACGCCTGGAGTGGACCCCTGGAAACTTGCCGAAAGTATCATGGGGGCAATATTTGGCAACTACCCTCCAAAAGCCAGTCCATTCCGGCCTCCCATGGGAGAGGTCCCAGTTGTTGGCATCGATGAAGGCCGGAAGGGGAACCATCCTCGTGCCCTGCGGCCTGTGGCTCAGATTCGAAATGCCAACATCCTTGGCATCTACTCCACAGACATACAAGTGCAACAAGGTGGCCAAACGTGGCCAGAAGGTAGGAGTGCACACGGAGACCATTGGCAGCATTTTCCTGGAGCCACTCACGGGCCTGGCAACGGTGCTCTTGCACGTGGTACAGGAACCAATGCAGGCCCGCACCTGGCACACCTTCGGATGGGTTCGGTGAGTGTGGCGTGGCATAATGTACTTGCTGGCCACATCGGGCAGGCGTATATAATTGCGCTCCCGGTAACATTGCATGCATCTTGCAGAACTGCCACTACCACCCTGGGCAGCTACGAGGTGTTCCTTCGGTTGAGCTCACTGCCCTGTCTGCCTGTCTTCCGTTTTCACGCACCTCTTCTCGCATACCAAAGGTCACCTCCCACCCTGGTGCCAAGACGAGGTGGGCCGCTTGATGTAACTTGCTGCTTCACCAGCCGCGTGCACACTCGAGGTAAAGTCCTGAGCCTCCCTGCGCATGCGTTGCCGCCGGCCCCAGGGGGACTCCTCAGCCTCATGGGCTGGGTCTACAGAGGGCCGGGCCCGTGCCTCCGAGGGGGATCTGGGCCGTGCATGTTGGTTGGGAAGGTCACAGCTGGTCCTAGCCTCCTCTGACCGCCTCCCAGGTGGAGGGAAACGTGTTGAATCGCGCGGAACCGAACGTAAATCCACCGGACCCTGCTGCCTGAGGCCTCCTTCTTTGTGGAGGAGTGGGCGGTGTAGGGCTTCTGTCCACTGAGCGCAAGACCAGGCGAGGGGAAGGAAAGCGCCGACGGTCACGTCGAGGAGCCGGCGGGGGGGGAGGCGGCCATGCCTTCGCCGCCGGTTGAGCCGAAGAGCTGGAACCACCAGGAGCCGCCTCCTCAGGGAGGGGTGCCTCTTCCGGCTGGTCGTCTCCCACAGGAAGGCCCTGGTCTAAACGCTGCTGCCTTCGGATGTGGGGTGGGGTCGTCGCTTGGAACGCTGGAGGGTTGCCGTGGAACGCCACGACTTCCTCTCTGCTGCTCGCGCCAAAAGGGGCCACGACCCCTGCCCTTTGAGCCCCCCATCACTGCTTCTTGAAGCGAAGGGTCTGCTGACCTGAGGGAAGCTCTTTCTTCTTTTTGGCACGGCTGGCCGGCTTTGGGGCAGGCTCTCTGGCAGGCCCGGCGGCGCGTGCACTGGTGGCAGGAAGGGAAACCACTTCCTTTGTCTTGCCAGGCCCCACCTCAGACACGTGCAAAGCTGCAGCCTTAGAAAGGGAAGCCACTTCCTTTAGAGCTGAAGAAGACCCTGAAGAGTCCGGCTGCCCAGGAGGCGTGGAAACCGAGGCCTGGGCAGAAAGGACAGGGTTTGGTTATTGTGGAGCTTTTTACAGGGTTTCTGGAGACCTAAACAAGGCTGAGAATGGCCTGGAAGGAGGGTAAGATGGCACCCGGAGCACAGCCATCTACGTCCTTCATTTTTGAGCCGGTGCGTCGGGTGGAGGGTAGGCCAGAACTGGGGACCGTTATGGGGCATGTCAATGCACGGCTGCGCAAGCAAACGTTCTAGCCTATCCATCTCATGAACCTGCTGGAGGTAAAGCTTACACTTCGCACAAGTGATTGCAAGATTATTAGTTTTCAACCCCCCTACTTGCCAGACATGACCACCTACTGCTTCCGGGACATCCACTTTTGCCAGCAAAAGCTGGCGCTTATTAGGCCCTTTGGGTGGTTGGGGTTCCTCTCTTTGGCTTCGGGGAACAAAATCATCTTTTGAGGCGTGTTTCAAAACAACCACAGCTCGCGACGCCAGGTAGTCACAGATCCTGGTTACGAGCCTATCCAGGTCCTGGACTTTCCGCCCCGCTACAGGCGAGATGGTGGCAGCCCGTTTGCCTGCCAGCTCGTCCGCACATTGGTTGGCCTGGTGTCTCCAAAGCTGGGAAAAGCCAAACCGCATTTCGAACTCACGGCTAGTTAGGTGGGATTTTACCCAAGTGGGCCTTATCCTACCACGGTCCTCCCAGACCGGGCCCCAAAGGGGGGCTTAAAGGGGGTTTCAAGGGGGGCTTAAAGGGGGGCTTAAAGGAAGGCTTCAAGGGGGCTTTGAAGGGGGCTTAAAGAAAGGGGGGGGGCTTAAAGGGGGGCAAGGCTAAACATTACTTTATCTTGAAGATGAGAGAGAAGGGATTTATTCTAAATTCCACCCCCCTCAAATCTTGTTTTGTGTTTTGGATTTCGTTCTTCGAAACTAGAGAAGTGAGACTCTAACTTCCATTTGAAAAGAGAGAGAGAGAGAGAGAGAGAGAGAGAGAGAGAGAGAGAGAGAGAGAGAGGAAGAGAGAGGAATTTATTCTAAATTCCACCCCCCTCGAATCTTGTTATATTTTTGTATTTTTTTTGGGATTTCATTATTCGAAACCAGAGAAGTGAGACTCTAAACATACATTTCCCTTTACGAAGCGAAAGAAGGGAATGTATTCTAAATTCCACTCCCCTCGAATCTTGTTTTACATTTTGTGTTTGTTTTTGGATTTCATTCTTCGAAACCAGAGAAGTGAGACTCTAAACATTCATTTCCCTTTACGAAAAGAAAGAAGGGAATGTATTCTAAATTCCACCCCCCTCGAATCTTGTTTTGTTTTTTGGGTTTCATTCTTCGAAACCAGAGAAGTGAGACTCTTTTTAAAGGGGAGCTTAAGGGCAATTCCACCCCGCTCGCTTCTTCTTTTGTTTTTTGTGTTCATTACTCGAGTTTCAAGGAGCAGAGAGTTCATAGCAGTGACGTGGCGCGGGGCTAAGCCGAGAACCCCATGTTTTGTTTCAGAGATGATTCATATGCTTCCACGCGAGCTTGCCCGGCAGAAAAAAGCGGGGGGGTTGGGGGGGGCGCAGCCCCCCCCATTTGCATAGCAGTGACGTGGCGCGGGGCTAAGCCGAGAACCCCATGTTTTGTTTTGTTTTGGACATGATTCATATGCTTCCACGCGAGTTTGCCCGGCTTAAACAAGCGGGGGGGTTGGGGGGGGCGCAGCCCCCCCCATTTGCAAACACGATGCTCGCATTAGGCCTCTTAAACTGCTGCCTAAATCCTCACCGAAGGCCCAGCAGGTATTAAGCCTCTTAGACGTCTTAAACTGCTGCCCGAACCCTCCACAAAAGGCCCAGCGAGTATTCGGCCTCTTAAACTGCTGCCTAAATCCTCCACAGAAGGCCCAGCAAGTATTACGCCTTTTAAACTGCTGCCCAAACCCTCCACAAAAAGAGGCCCAGCAAGTATCAGGCCTCTTAAACTGCTGCCTAAACCCTCCGCAGAAGGCCCAGCAAGTGTTACGTGGATGTACTTGTACAAGTGTGTTTGCTGCCCGCACGCAACGGCATAGCATGTCCCGCCTGTAGACTCCCTTCCCGCCTGCTGCGCAGCTGCTGGCTCGACAGGCGGATATGCTACGCTAGTCCGTTCGGATTCAGTTTGAACTTTGGGCTTTGGACCTCGAACCTTGAACGCTAGTATATTTCCGCCTGAGCCATGGCTTGCCTGTTCTGCTGAGTCGCACTCACTGACAGCTTAAGTCCGGCCTTCAGTCTGCCCGACTTCTGATTCTCACCTAGCTCTCGCTGGTGCTGAATCGGTTCCTGTTGCCGCTGCAAGGGAGCCTGTTCCGTCTGCCGCTGCAGTCGCGAACTTGCACTACTGGAACGGTGTACGTCCAGTCTGTGCGGTACTCGGCCGCTATACCTTATAGTGTGTCGCTGTGCCTGCCTGCTGTCCGCTGACTCAGGCCCTCCGCCGCTGGAACGGTGTACGTCCAGTTTGCGGGATACTCGGCTTACCTTCCTACAGCCGCTGTATCTTTCTGTATGCCTGCTGTCCGCTGACTCAGGCTTGCACGTCTGGTGCGGCGTACGCCCAGTTCTGTGCCGCGCTCGGTTGTTTTGCCGCTGCGTGCTTCCTCTGTGCTACGCCTGCTGTCCGCTGACTCAGGCAGGCTACACGCACTTGTTGCTGGCCGCACGCACATCGAGGACAGGGTTCTGCTTGTCGAGTTTTTTGTCTTGCGAGTGTTCGTGTCTGTTTTGTTTGTCTTGCTGTACATGCCATGTCAAGCCCCGCATACACATTCTCTGCTTTCCCTCTAGCCGCTTTCAGATGTTCTCAAGCTCCTGCTTCAGCCTCGACTTTCCGTCCCTTCTTGGTGCCATGGCTTCCCGTCAGACGCCAACTCCTGCTGAAGCCACTGCCGCTGCGGTTGCTGCCGCCCAGACTCAGCTTCCGCCTGCTTCTGACCCCTCTGCCGAGCATTCCGCTGATGCCCGTGCTGATGAGCAAGCCCGCAGATCAGCGCGCCATGCCGAACTCGTCCGCGCCTGGCGTGCTATCTGTGAGCCCGAGCACGAGGAGTCCGCCCTTGCCCTGTCCTCCCTGGATTTGCCGTGCATTTGCTTTGCCGCGGATGTCTGCCACGATGTCCTTATGGACCGCCTGTTTGACTTGCCCGCGGACATAGTGACCCGCTTGCAGCCTTCCGGCCGCCGCATCACGCGCACTCTGAGGACCGCGCGTTGGGCCGACGCCACCTCCTCTGAAGATGATGTCGCGCAGCCGCCACTGGACACAACCCCGCCGCCTGCACCGCCTGCACATGATGCCGCAGCCTGGAGTCGTGAGCGCGCCTGGCATCATGATACAGCAACGGGCGTGTTCACTGGCCCCCTGCCTGACCAGTCGCCGCCAGTTTCCACGCCTGCCCCCGCTGCTGCCGCCGAGCTCTTCACAGCCCGCCCGGCCCGCACGCCGGTGGCGCCACGCCCCATCCGCCATGACCAGATGCACTTTGACCCCAACATCGGCCATCGTGCGGTGCCCGCAGACACCCCCACGCCTGTGAACCGCACTGACCGCGACCGCCTGCCAGCAATCTGCCCTACCGCTCCCTCCGACCCGCCGCAAGACCAGCCCCTCCACTTTGAGCCCGGATTCACCGAATCCCCCAACCAAGGCCCGTGGAGTACCGCAGAGGGGTGGGATTTTCAAATTGCGCTCCCAAATTCCGCCTGCACCGTCATCCGCCCGGCTTGGTGGCCGTATCCGGACATGTTTTGCGTGCACCCGGATGAGATTCCGCGTTGGCTGTACGTCCGCCTGCAGCCGCCCGCGGACGCTGTCAGTCACCTCCGCCTCCGTGGGTACTGTACCCACGTCTGCTCCGCCTTCGACTCCCCGGACCGCGCCCAGACCTGTACCGGCCTGTGCTTCCGCCCGGTTATGTTCGGTGAGAGGTCCGGGCACAAGGAACACCAATGTTCCGCCTGTCACCGCCTGCATTCCTGAGCCGCCCTGCTTCCGCCGCAGCGCCTGTGCTGAGTTGCCGCCCGGCCGCCCGTTCTCAGAAACTTACGTCTCCATATGTCAGCACGCGGCCGCGGCTCCTCCGCACAGGTGTCTCTGCTCCAGTGGTTTTTCGCCTTTGGTCTGGCCACAGCGCCACCTGCACACGCGTTGTCCGGGAAAAAAGTTGGCTTTGCTCTGTGCGTGCTCTTGTGCTTGCCGTTGTTGCGCGGTTACTTGGGTTTTGACTTAGTTTCGGTTTGTTCAGGGAAGCTCTCGCCAGGACATCACCGTGGCCATGGACGAGCATGATTCTGTGTGCCCCGTTGTGCCCGTACCTGATTCCGAGTGCACGCTTGCGCTTCAGGTTCCTTGCATAGCTCCTCCGGAGCCCGTTCTTGTTGTGCCCCCGGTCTCGTCCGTTGGTGCTTCCCTGTCCTCCGTGCACCCACCTTCGGACCCCCCCCACGCCGAGCCTTCCCCTCTACTGTCCGTTGGTGCTTCCGCTTCTGACGTGCACCCACCTTCGGACACCCATGCAGCCTCACTTGACCCCCTTCGGCCTGACCAATGCACTCTTGCGTGTGCCAACGGCGCAATGCCTGCTTCTGCACTGCCTCTTCATACGCCGTTTGAGGCGCCCGTTGCTGCAGATTCTGACGACCATCAGGACACTGCCCCTTTGCTGGCTTCCTCTGTGAGTGGCCACTTGCAGCCTGCTTGCACACTGCCTGTTCCAACACCGCATCCGTTGTCTGATGACCTGGCGTCCCTGCCTGCGTCGCACATACCGAGCCCGCCTTCATCTCCAGTGTCAGTGCTTGCAACACCGAAATCCGTGCCCAAGCCGCCTCCTTTGTCATCCGGATCACCGGGCTCCTTTTCCATTGTGTCCGGTTCAATTCACCTGGCACCCCCGCAAGCAGTCACGCTATCCCGCAATATGCCGCGTTGGCTTGATGGCGCTCTGAATCCTGCATACCGGCCGCCGGACCTGCGTTCTTCGGCTGCACCCCCTAAACCCCTAATCCCTAACCCGCCTAAGCGTGCATTTCGCGCCCCGGCCCCAGCTCGGCCGTTGCCTGCGCCCGTGGTGGCTGCTGGGACGTCCTGTGTCCAACCGGCCCCATACATCCGCAATCTCACCGCTCCACTTTCCCATGATGCCCGAGGCTCCGTTGCAACACAGTCCTCAATCATGTGTGCGTTCGAGTCTGCTCGTGACAAGCTCGTTGCACGCTGGCTGTCCTGTGTCACCATTCTGGCCGGGGTGTCTGCACTGTTTGTCGAAGCCTCCGCGTCCTCCGATCCGGAGTTTTTCATCTGTCGTGTCGTCATGACACATGCGCCTTCCACTCTGCAGCGTTACCTGGACATGTGGTCCGCCTGGTGCCTGTACTGCGAAATCCGCAGATCTTCTACTTACGACCCGCAGCCTGGTGTGTTGCCCGACTGGCTACGTGCTCGCTGCAGCACCCAAGGTCTAGCCACTATGCCTTTCAAGGCCCTCTCCTGGGTTTCCAAAAAGGCCGGCCTTCCGCTGCTGCGTCGCCAGCTGGAGAGTGCTATTATCCGTGCTTTTTTGTCACCGTCAGCCCCAGTCGAACACCGAGAGAGCCTTCCGTTCTCCTTGAGCTTTACGGCTTGGTTGGAGGCCCGCGTTCTGTGCCCAGACACTCCGCCTGCAGAGATTTTCATGTTGGGAGTCTTGCTTGCAGCAATCTGGGCCTCCCTTCGTTGGGGCGACCTCCTTTGGATTCCGCCGGCCCGCTTGCATTTTCAGGCCCCCTCTTGTGCACTGGTGGGCATTTGTATCCGCACCAAGACGACTAAGTCGGGAATGCCTTGGGGCATTTACTCCCCCGGTCTGCTCGGTTCCGCTGCTGCTTCCTGGACAACCCGCTGGCTGTCCGTTGTCAAGCAAGTTCTGGCCGACACCGCTGCCCTGCACCCGCAACGCGTGATCGATTTTCTGCCTGCCATCCTCTCATCGGACCATAGTCACCCAACCATCATAAAGCCGCTGTATCGCGACCAGGCAGTGCCGTGGATCCGCAGCCTGCTCTGCCATCACTGGAACCTACACAGCACTGAGCCGTTGCCTTCTGCGTTTAACTTGATTGCCGCTCATTCCGCCAAGACCACCATACTGTCCTGGGCCCGCCAGCTGGATATGCCGGCCGAGCCCAGGCGCATTCAAGGGCATCACCGGTTATCGGGTTCTGATAAATCCGTGGCGCTCTACAGCCGCGACGATATCGGCCCGATGCTCTGTTGTCAACGCACGGTGATTTCCTGCATACGTGCCGGGTTTCGTCCATTACAGCCACTGGCCCGCGGTTGCGTTCATCCGCTGCCAGACTTTCCAGTTGACCTGCCTTCTTCTTCTGCCTTACCTCGAGTCCGCTGGTCCGCGACAAGGCCTGGCCCGCCCTCTGCACAGCCTGCCGATGACATGCTCGAACCCTCGAGTCTACACCATGATGCCGGCATATCCGAGGTCTCAGTGGAAGCCGACATACCATGTGCTCCGCTCTCACATGACCCTGACCCGCCGGTCTTGCCCGACCTTTTGCCGGACTACGAGAGAGCCCCTACTCCTCCGGTCTCTAGTTGCTCTTCAGAGAATGATTGTGGGTCGGTCTGCTCCGAGCCGCCCTCTGACCCTGAGGCGCTGGAAGTGGAAAGCGCTGCAGCGCTGCAACCTCCCTCGCCTTCCGCCTCACCCGCTCTCTTGCTTTACAATTCGCGCAGCAACGTGACGCATGCCGCGTCCCCGTGTGACCCCAATGCCCCACGCGCGCTTTGGTTTCCTGCTCACTTGTGCTGGCTCCGCCCGGCGTGCGGTGCTCAAACAGACAAGCTCGATCAAGCCAGCGTGGTTGAGTCGCCCCCGCCGGCCTGCACCTTGTGCCTCCGTACGGCATGCGCCAAACGCTTCGACGCCTTGGATTAGTCTTCCTGACGCCGCAAAAATGCCACTACCGCTGCGCTCTGCCTGCTTGCACTGTTCTGGGTTGCTCCTGTTGGGTTTAGTTTCATAGGCACCCTCCCCCCTTTCGGTCCCCTAGCCCTAACCCCCCCCGCTCCCGCGCCAGGTGCTGCTCAAGTTCGCCCAGCTCTCCGCTAGCCTCCTTGCGCCATGGAGTCCCTGCCGCCCACAGTGGACCCTGACAAGTCCGTCTTCTCCGTCCGCACGGAACGCCGCCGTGTGCAGCTGCCTGTGCCTGCGGAGGATGTGCCCGCTCATTCTCATGCTGCGCCGGCCTCCAATCACCACACTTCCCCGCCGCTTGACCATGCGTACCAGCCTGTGCCTCCGTTTGCACCCTTTCCCGACCCTTCGTGGTCCGATGCCCAGCTGTCGACTTGGCTCGCACGCTTGGACCACCGAGTGATTGTCCGCCTGCGTATCTTGCTCCAAAACCGTGACGCCGGCCATGCCGAGGTTATTCTTGGCTACTGCCAGCAACTCTGCCCCAACCTCTGCGGGAATTTCTGTGGTCGCCCCATGCTGAATCGCCCTCGCCCTCACCGAGACCATTTCTGTGGCGCTTGCCATGCCGCCCGATGGGCTGCCGAAGCTTTCAATCCGCATTGGGACATGCCTGGCGTCATCCGCCACCACCCTCGACGCCGTCAAGGTGGACGCTACCATGGTGCACCGCTGCTGCCAACGCCGGCGCCCGGCCCGGATGCTTCTGAGCCGTCCCCTGAGCCACCGGCCTGATCCGAACAGAACGGTTAGTGTATGCCCGTGTTTGTGGACTGTGAAGTGTTATTGTTGTGTCTTTTCTTACTTACTGCGGGTTTGTTGTTTAGTCTGTTTAATTTTGGATCTGTTTCAGTTACAGTCCGCTGCCTCGCTTGGCTCGGGCTACGCCCTTTTCGCACCCACCGTGTCTGCGGCAAAACGCGACCGCTGGGCATGCACTTGCTGCTGGCTTGTCCTCAGCTTGGGCGTTGGATAATGCATGTGCTTCTTTGCTCCTGCTTTCTTGCCCGTAGCCGTTCTAGTCTCCATGCATGCGATTAGTCTCCTTAAAGGGGTTATTGTAGTCCCTCCTTGCCAGGTGCCATGGCCCATCGCCCACGCTTGGACGACCCGGCCGTGTTGGAGGCTCTCTTGACGCAGTACTCGGCGCCCGACGATCTGGCTGCAAAGCTCAAGTCCGCCGGGTACAACACCCTGTCTGCGCTCGTCTTCGCGGCCCCCGACGTCGCCGACGAGCCCCAGCTGCTACGCAGCCTTCTGTCTCTTCCCGCACCTACGGAGCTAACCACTCCAGCTTGCTCGGCCGTTCGCCGCCTCCTCATGGAGGCGAGATTGCTTCTGCCTGGTGTGCCGCCCAGCCTGCCTGCCGCCACCTCCGCGGCTCCTTCTGCCCCTATGCCGTCGCAGCCGGCCGTGCCTAAACTGTCCACGGCAGAACTTTCTCAGCTCCGCACGGACTTCATGGCGGCCTACCCCGGAGAGCTCCTTAACTCTGCTACCACGCCGTGCTTGGAAATGTGTGCCGCCATAAAGCATTTACATGACTCCGCCTGTTCTCCCTGGCTGCCGTGGCGTCAACGTGCATCGGAAGCCGACCGCGCCGCCTGGTCAGAATCCCGCCGGCCGCGCTCGGATGGCCAACTTCTTCGCGCCTTACTGTCAGACGAGTTTGAAGCGCCCGCTCCTACCTCCGCCGCCGGTCTCAACGGCCCGCTGGAGTCTGTGCTTCGCCGCAACCTCTCCCTCTTCGCTACTGCCTTGGCGATGACAAAGATCACTCACTTGATCACCATCAAGCGCTTCACGGAGAAGTTCATATCTACTGCCCTGGCGGTTCCGCCTGACCCGTCGCTCCGACCGCCGACATTGAATGAGATATTGGCCGCAGACCGCGCCGTGTGGATATCCGTGCATGAATTGGTTCGAGACCATAGTTGGTCGCTAGAGGACGCGCTCAACGAGATCTCCACTTGCCGCCAGGACATCTCTGCCCTCCTGCAGCCGCGTCCGCGTACATCCAAAGCACACGCGGACCCTAACGCCCCTAACCCCCGTGCCCCTAACAACCGCCGCCCGGACCGTTCCCGCTCTGCCCGCAACGACGAGGCTCGCAAGCATGCGCCAAAATCCAAAGGTCGGGGCCGCGGGAAAGACAGGTCCGATGCCTCCTCTTCTGTGCCCGGCTTCGATGCCGCTTGGTTCCAAAAGATTGGCAAACGTGAGTTGTGCAAGCGATACGCTCTGGGCAAGTGTTCGAACCCTAACTGCCGCTATGCTCACCTCTGCCCGCTTCCCTTGCCGTCCGGCAAGCCCTGTGGGCAGAAGCACACCGTTGCTGAGCATAAAAACACCGCGTATTGACTATCCTCCGGTTCGGGCAACCCTTTGCTCGTGTCCTCTGACTCCGATACCGAGTCTGGCAGCATAGCAGCCCCTGCTGCCCCCCCCTCTGACTTCACTGCCTCGTCCGTGTCAAGCTGCTTTCCCGCCCGCGGCCCCCGCGTCCGGCCAGGAGCAATCTGGCCTGGCCACGCACCCTCAATTCGTGACTGCTAATCACGGCCCCACTTGCGCAAAGGCCCCGGCACGCCCCGCACCGCCGGGCGTTTGTGAGCAACCGGTGTCACCGAATGGGTTCCCTGCCCAGCACAACACCTTCTCTCTGCCATCACATGTGCCGGCACGTTCGGTCGCCCCGAGCGTCTGTGAGCAACCGGCTTCTGCCCCAAGCCTTGCACCCGCTCTGCCTGCCCACTCACCTTTGCCGGCACGCCCGGTCATCCCGAGCGTCTGTGAGCAACCGGCTTCCGGCCTTTTCAGCCCTTCGCCCTCTGCAAGCTTGCCCCATGACTGCTCCTCGGGTCACCACGGCCCTATTCCAGCCGTTCGCATGTTTTTGGACCTATTTTCAGGTTCCTCGGCCCCTGTTTGCAATGCCATCCGCACATTGCTTCTTGCACGTTTTGAGCCGGTGGATCTTCTCGCGGGGTCCGCTTTAGATGTTTCTGACGATGCCACGTATTCCACACTCTGTCGGCTTTGTGCTTCCGGGCTTGTGGGTGCCTGTTGTGCCGCACCTCCATGCTCAGCTTATTCACGCGCACGCCTCATGAAGTCCGGCCCTCCTCCGGTGCGCACACCATCATTCCCATTGGGCCTGCCTAACTTGTCTGCGCAGCAGCAACGCGAGCTTCACATGTCCGCACTCTTGCACCAACGCACACGTCATTTGCTGTCCCTTGTGGCCGCGCGCGGGGGCTTGATATTTCTGGAAAATCCGGCCTCTAGCCTGCTCTGGCTCGACCCCGAGGTCATGGCCTGGGTTCGTGCATTTGCTCCCTTTGGTGCTTCCGTTGCCTGCTGTGCACATGGTCTGGACTATAAGAAAGCCTGGCTTTTTTGGTGTAACCGGCCTTCGGTTGCAGCTCTTGCGGTTGCATGCCCGCACTTGCCCGGCTACCACCGTCCTCTGTCTGCACAACGGTCCGCGGATGGCATGTTCTTGACTCGAGCGACGGCGTGCTACCCGCCCTCCCTGGCTAGTGCCATTGCATCCCTCTGCGTCCCGTTTGTGTCCATAGAAGACCGTGAATACACGATCTCCACATGGGTCGCCCTTCTGCCGCCGCGCCTGCCCTGGCCGCCATATCCGTTTCCGGTGGAGGATGGGGCTGGCATGGGCAGCGCCGCATGCCACACTCATCCCCAGAGTGAAGACCACTTTAAGGCCTTACGGCACGCTTGGTCTGCCCGCCTTTTAAGTTCCGGTTTGGTTCCTAAAATAGTAACCGCACTCTCTTCCGGGTCTAAGTCCGCCCCCATTTCTGAAGCTGAGCTAGCCCCGTTCTTCCATGATCTGCGTGAATTTTTGCAAGTCCGCCAAGCTGACACCTGGACCGCCTTGCTTTCCATAGACGAAGGCCAGCCCTTTCGGTTGTCTCTGTGGCATACCCTTTGTCTTATATTTAAGGATGCTGACGCTGGTTTGTTCCCTCACTTACACGCTGGCGTGCCGCTTGGTTCCTCTGACGCCATTCCCCCATGCCCGCTCTTGCAAGCCTCACATGCCTCCCCCCCAGCTGACGCCGAGTTGTGCCACTGCGAATCCGCCTGGAAGTCAGCGCTTGACAATGCTGAAATTGTCGACAAACTGCTACAGGAAGAGCTGGACGCTGGCTGGATTTGCGAGGTTACGGGGGGGGATGACGAGCTGAAGCGGCAAAACAAGCACTCCGCCGTCGGCAAACTGGGGGTAGTTCTCTCTGAGGGCCGCCCGCCACGACTTGTCGTTGATAGCTCCATATCAGGAGTTACTAACGCCACGCACTTGCCCAATCGGTCCGCAAACCCCACATTGTTAGATGTCCGCCGCTGCCTTCCGATCTCTGATGCCCGTGAGCGCCTCGTGGCTCTGGTCCTGGATGTTAGCAAGGCACACCGCCGCATCAAGATTTTGCCCGCAGATCAAGGCCTTCTCTGCTTCCGCCATCGTGGCCGCCTATACCAGTGCAAAACTTTGAACTTCGGCGCACGCGCCTCCGGTTTTTACTGGGCCCGCGTCGCAGGTTTGCTGGTCCGCCTTGTTCACCGGTTTTGGTGGGTCAGTCATTCTGCCATGATTTACGTGGACGATCTGCTTTCCATTCTCGAAAAATCCTCTGCCCCGCTGCTTGCTGCGCTGCTGGTCGTTTTGCTCCAAGTTCTAAATGTGCCGATGAGTTGGCACAAAGCCAAACTGTCTGCCTCCGTTGTCTGGATAGGCTGGCAGATGGATTTTCGCACTTTCACAGTCAGGTTGGAGCCTGCCAAACTTCAGCGGTTGTTGTCTCTGCTCCGCCAATGCTACCGCTCTGCGAAGCTGCCCGCCACTACCTTGGAAAAGCTTACCGGCAAGCTGCTTTGGCTTTCTAACCTTTTCCGGGCGTTTCGACCGTCTTTGGCTCCCCTGTACCAGGACCAATACTGCCCTCCACTTGTACATGTGCCCCTTTCTACGCAGGCTTGGCAGCGCCTGCAAGCTGCTCTTTCCAATGACCTCCGGGTCATTGCGCCGTCGGGTCTTGCCTCTGCCCCCCTGGGCAGCCGCTTATTTCGGGTGGCTCAAACCGCCGTGCAATCCAAAGAGGAGTTGCCACAGTTTCCTCCCTCCGCACGCCGGTTATGGGTCCAAATCTCCGATCTTGCGCACCCCGATCGTGTCATTTCTGACGCTTCACGTGCAGTTATGGATATGTGGCTCCAGCTCTGCCGTTCCGGTACGGACTTCAGATCTCTCATGCTGTCTCCGCACTTTAATTGTGAGGCATTTGCTGACGCGTGTGCGAGCGATTCCTCTGCAGGGTTGGGAGGGTTTGTCCGCCTGCCATCAGGCCAAACTCTCTTCTTCCAGGCTAAGTTCTCACAGGCGGAACTTCACGCCCTATTTTCGTGGTTCCCTCCTGATCACTCACCTCAACACTACATTGCAGCCTGGGAACTTCTTGCTCAGTGCGCCTTGCTGCATCTTTTGGCCTGCTTGTTGCCTGCTGGACATCCGCCTCTGCATGTCACATTTCGCTGTGACAATTCCGCTACGGATGCCGCATCCTGGAAGGGTCTCTCCCTTGCGACAGGCATGTGCGCTCTACTGCGTTCATTCTTCCTTCTGCAGGAGCGGCAGTACATATCCGTCCACATAGACCATGTCCCGGGGTTTCGAAATGACCTCGCTGATGGTTTGAGTCGCGGCTATGATCCTCAGCTTTTGGGTTTCCCTCCTTCGGCACGCTGCCAAATTCCCTGGTCTGCCCTGCCTTCATCCTTTGCCTGCCACACATACCCTTTGGAGCTAGATCTTTCCAGCTGGTTGGCGTCTGCTTGAAGAATGCTGGCCCTAGTCCCCCTGTCGGGTCAAGCGTGCCGCCTGAAATATTTGGTGCTCTCGACCAGCATTCTTTCCGCTTTTCTGCCCGGGTGCTTCTGCCCGCAGGCTGACCAACCGAAGCACCGCCAGGGATTCTTCCGCCAGCTTGGAAAAGATGGGAGCGCGTGCGGTCCTTCCTTTTCGAGTCACACACTGGACATTCGTAACGGACTAGTGCGGGTAGTGAACGTGGATGTACTTGTACAAGTGTGTTTGCTGCCCGCACGCAACGGCATAGCATGTCCCGCCTGTAGACTCCCTTCCCGCCTGCTGCGCAGCTGCTGGCTCGACAGGCGGATATGCTACGCTAGTCCGTTCGGATTCAGTTTGAACTTCCGCCGCCTCCCCTCCAACCTGCCTCTGTCTTCCTTGCCGCACGAAGTTTCTTCGCTGCCTCCCTCCGGTCCGATTGGTCCAAAGTGTCCATTCGTGCCGGTGTCGGAAGGAACCTCTCTACGCTGTAGCTCCGTAGACTTCTGGGGTACTGTACATTCCATCTGAGGTCTAGTTGTTTTTCACATCATGCTGGTGCTCTCGACCAGCATTCTTTCCGCTTTTCCTGCCCGGGTGCTTCTGCCCGCAGGCTGACCAACCGAAGCACCGCCAGGGATTCTTCCGCCAGCTTGGAAAAGATGGGAGCGCGTGCGGTCCTTCCTTTTCGAGTCACACACTGGACATTCGTAACGGACTAGTGCGGGTAGTGAACGCCTTTTGAACTGCTGCCCAAACCCTCCAAAAAAGGCCCAGCACGTATTAGGCCTCTTAAACTGCTGCCTAAACCCTCCGCAGAAGGCCCAGCAAGTATTACGCCTCTTAAATTGCTGCCCAAAGGCCCAGCAAGTATTAGGCCTCTTAAACTGCTGCCTAAACCCTCCGCAGAGCGGGGGGCTTGGCTGCGGCTTCAGGGGGGAGCTTTAGGGGGGGCTTTAAGGGGGCTTAAAGAGAGGGGCTTAAAGGGGGGGCTTTAAGCCCCTTACAACGGGGGGGCCTTAAAGGGGGCTCTAAGGGGGCTTTTTAAAGGGGGGCTTAAAGGGGGGCTTAAAGGGGGGTTTAAAGGGGGGCTTAAAGGGGGGCTTAAAGGGGGGCTTAAAAGGGGGCTTAAAGGGGGGCTTAAAGGGGGGCTTAAAGGGGAGCTTAAAGGGGGGGTTGAAGGGGGCTTTAAGGGGGGGCTTAAGGGGGGGGCTTAAGGGGGGGGCTTAAAGGGGGGGCTTAAGGGGGGGCTTAAGGGGGGGCTTAAGGGGGGGCTTAAGGGGGGGCTTAAGGGGGGCTTAAGGGGGGGCTTAAGGGCTTTCACCCTTTCCCCCCCCCCCCCGAAGGGACCCCCTTTGCAGGGACCCCTTTGAAGGGGGGCTTAAGGGGGGCTTAAAGGGGGGCTTAAAGGGGGGCTTAAGCCCCCCTTTGCCCAAAGGGGGGGGGCCCATCCTCAATTTAGATTGAAGGCTACCTTGGGAGGGAAAGCACCGGTCTAGTGCGACAACAGTCAACATTGCCGCTGCAGCATTTCGACAGACCACCCGTTCTTGGAATGTCTGCTAAGACTGCTGCAAGCATGCAACCTGCAGGCTTCCAACTTCTTCAGATGATTGCGTGATCAATCGCATTTTACAATTTCCTTCACGACTTGGTGCGCATTGGCTCTGAACAGGGGCGGAAGGAGACGTTGACTTCTTGCAAAGCAGCCAGGTCAGTGGTCCCTTACTTGCGGCGCACCATTTCTTGTGGTTCCGGATCAGGGGACGTTGGGAGTCTTCCGACTTGGAGGAGAGCTGCCGTGGACTTCGAGGTGCTGTTTTGCTGTGTGCCGCCGCGGAAGGCTTTGTGGCAAGTGGCATATCGAGAAGCTTCTTCAATGGAAGGACACGACAAAACACATTGGCACGTGCCGTAATGTTAGACCACTCCAGATGAAAGGCCGAAAAATGCTCCAGGTGTTTGATGGCATCACAAGACCCACAAGACCGGCCTACTGTGCTACTGATGTAGTAAAGAGGCGTCCGCTCTGAAAAATAAAAGTCCTTCGAAGGCCTGTAATTTCTTTTTGAAGATGAGAGAGAAGGGACTTCTTCTAAATTCCACACCCGAATCTGTTTTGTTTTTTGGATCTCATTTTTTCATTCTTCGAAACTGAGAGAAGACTGGAGATGCTCCCGTCTCCACCTTCCAAGCCTTCGGGGGGGGGGGGGGGGGGGGGGGGGGGGGGGGGGGGGGGGGGGGGGGGGGGGGGGGGGGGGGGGGGGGGGGGGGGGGGGGGGGTGAGGACGAAGGCTTCCAAGGCTTTGAAGGGTGAGGACGAAGGGGCTTCGAAGGCTTCGAAGGTGAGGACGAAGGGGGCTTCGAAGGCGAGGACGAAGGGGGGAGGGCTTCGAAGGCTTCAAAGGTGAGGACGAAGGGTTCGGCTTCGAAGGGTGAGGACAAAGGGGAGGGGGGGGCTTCGAAGGGTGAGGAGGAAGGGGGCTTCGAAGGCTTCGAAGGTGAGGACGAAGGGGGCTTCGAAGGGTAACGGGATGCAGCCCCCATCTATCTAAAATACTCAGTGCCAGGCCATTCGCATATTGCACACAATTGGACTTGCATCGCTCATGCTCATCAATGGCTGTCAGGGTTTTCCACTTCAGAGACTTCAGGTGATCGGCATCTCTAGTGGCCTTGGGATGCACTTAACCAGATGAGGTTTGGTCCTGAGCATTCAATGTCAGAACGTGCAACATCTGCCGAACATATGGGTTCATGTACCCTGACAGGTACTTCTTGATTCTGCAGTCGCACGACGACCCGCCTGCAAATTGTCACAAGCCTTTGAATCCACAGTAGGACCATGTTCACTGCCATTTTTTCACTACAGGTTTGGAAGGAACGTCCAAGCCCAATAGCAGCAGCAGCAATAGCAGCAGCAGCAGCAGCAGCAATAGCAGCAGCAGCAATAGCAGCAGCAGCAATAGCAGCAGTCAGACCATTCTGCACTTTGTTCGCACTGTTCACTGCCATGCACTAGTCCGTTACGAATGTCCCTTATGCTGAATCAGAAACAAGGCACGCGCTGTTTTTCGTCATGGCAGAAAAGATCTGGGTCGGTACTTCGGAAAGAGAGACGGATCTAAGGAGCACCCCGGGCAACGGAAGGGCCAGAGACAGAATGCTGGGCTGCTGGAAACAGCAGAGTCACAGCATGATGGTTCGAAACAGTTCACATCGGGCTGCAGGACAAATTCCTACTTTGAGCGATTCGTGATGGAGACCGACGCCGGACGCCGGCCACAGCGACGACGAAGTTCTGGCAAAAGCGGATATTTTGAAAGAGAAACGGACTGGCACACGTCAGCAGTTCCGCCCTGCGAGCCAGCAGCTGCTGTACGGGCGGACTCGCCGACGGTACATGCTGTGTCGTTGAGTGCGGGCAGCAAACACACTTGTACAAGTACATCCACGTTTACTGCCATGTGTTGGTTATGGCCGGGATTGGTGTGAGTGCTGCTGGTGTAGAACAGAGACAGGACTGAAGTGCTCGGGGATCCTGCTTGCATTCGGCGGCGTAAGCGCTAATGCATCACTGGTGTCTGCCTCCGTGAATACTCCCTTGTGGCTGCAATGTCTGCAATGACACGGACTGGAACTGCAAAGTCGACCTCGACTTTGCTGCTGCTGCTGCTGCTGCTGCTGCTGCTGCTGCTGCTGCTGCTGCTGTTGCTATTGCTGCTATTACTGCTGCTATTATTGCTGCTATTGCTGCTGCTATTGCTGCTGCTATTGCTGCTGCTATTGCGGCCGCCATTGCTGCTGCTATTGCTGCTGCTATTGCTGCTGCTATTGCTGCTGCTATTGCTGCTGCTATTGCTGCTGCTATTGCTGCTGCTATTGCTGCTGCTATTGCTGCTGCTGTTGCTGCTGCTATTGCTGCTGCTGTTGCTGCTGCTATTGCTGCTGCTATTGCTGCTGGTATTGCTGCTGCTATTGCTGCTGCTGTTGCTGCTGCTATTGCTGCTGCTATTGCTGCTGCTATTGCTGCTATTGCTGCTATTGCTGCTATTGCTATTGCTGCTGCTGCTATTGCTGCTGCTGCTATTGCTGCTGCTGCTATTGCTGCTGCTGCTGCTATTGCTGCTGCTATTGCTGCTGCTGCTATTGCTGCTGCTATTGCTGCTGCTCCTATTGCTGCTGCTGCTATTGCTGCTGCTGCTTTTGCTGAGGAAGGCAAGCTTCGGGCTGGCCATGGCAAGAATTAAGCGGAAGTACTCTCGAGCAGCCTTTTCACGAATTTGCAAGACAAGAACATGACTGACTTGCGCGGGGTGGCAACCTCCCTCAACACGATGAAGAAACAACAGGGAGGATGAGCTCAAAATGCGGCAAATTCGAGTCGAGTGACCGTCACAAATAGCATAAGTGTGAAGGCAACATGTGGCAGGAGGTTTTTGCGCAAGGTCTGGACAAAGAACTTGCTAGGATTGACTAACAGGATATTTTGTATGGCATGGCGTAGCCACGGCCAACCATTGAGACCAGCACGGAAAAGGGAGTTGCACTTTCCGCATTTTTCCACCACGCATAAAACACATGATGGCCACAGGCCAGCGTAGCAGATAGTTGTCACCGTGAACAGGTCGGTCATCGCATCACGATACAACCATAGTCTACAGTGCTGGTGCTTTGTTGGTCTTTCGTGTTGAAACTTCTGGCATCTTCAACAAGACAACTCGTAGTAGCAACTAAAGGTCTTGCTTGCGCGTGCATTCGTTCATGGACGCATCTTACTCATTCTTAGATCCACTGTCTCAGGCTCAGCAAGCAAATGCAAAGCACCACCAGCGGCCAATGACTGCCGGTGTTGATCAAACAGACCCTCCACTGAGGAAGCCCTTCGTATAGTTCGGAAACGGTTCGGAGCAAAGACTGAAACAAGTGTTGAAACACTTTACAAAAAGCTTCGACAACAAAAAGTTCTTACTTCAAATATCTTCAGATCTCAGAGGTTGTTGATCGTTTTGGCAATTTGGCTGTTCGCTTGATTCTCGTGCCTTCCTGTCATCCTGAAAAATTTGGGGCGGAAGCAGCCGCTTGCTCTGATTTTTGGGCTCAAGACTTTTGGTCGTGAGCATCTTGGCCCACGTGTGTGATGCTGTTTCCTTTTGCATGTGGAGCTGTTTTGACTTTGCAGAAAAACGTGTTGCGCAGTGAAACCTGTCGGTGATAGCTTCACCAGAGGGTGTCAGCGAGTGCTTCCGAAGCAGTAGGCTAGCCATTCATGCATCCTAGGCAGTTTAGGGTTCCCTGGTAAAGTGTGGGTACAGGGCAAAGCTTCCCACTCGCTGCCTGCCATGGACGTCTGATGATTTGGGCTGCTCTTGCGGCCACTGGGCAAAACTTTGACAACGTATGACTTCGATTGGCATTTGTTTGGATTCGTTTTTGAAAGCGTTGACCTAGCCGGTTCAACGTGGGTTTTGAGAGTGATAATGGCAGGTTAGGGAGTACCAGATTATCCACATACCCATGCAATACTTCGACCCCTTGGATGTTCAGGGGGTCTCGCAATCGACGGGCCCTTTATATCCCCGCGAACTCTTCCGGCGTTCCCTCCCGATGAACTATCGCGTGCGCTGGAACCGGAAATCCCAATCCCCGCACGCCTACAGCGACCATTGCAGCCAAGGTTGCCGCTTCCGCAGTCGGATATGGCTCCTATTACGTGCCTGCCACGCGGCTTCGTGAAGTTTTGAGGTTTACGGGCATTTATGGGTGATTTGTTTTGTGAACAAAAGCCTTCTCTCTTATACCTTCTCTGCCATGCCAAGGAGGTTCCATGCTGTTCAAGAGTAGGACCGCGCGAGCTTTGACGATGGAATCAAATATCTTGAGAGCCATGGTGAGTCAACTAAGGTGAGGAAATACGATGTGTACGATGGCAGCATCCTCAGAGCCTTAGACTCCGCTGTCACAGTGTGGGGGTTCCAGCATGCAGCAAGCAGTTCCCCAGCCTTCTCCTTCAACACCGCTCGCGACCCGATTGTGCTTCAACGACCTCTGATGCGGGTCAGATTGCTTTGTGGTTACCCATTACCTGTCTTGATTGACCTTACACCCCGACAAGATGATAGATCCCCCAAAGTCGAGAACAGTGAGAGGAAGTGCAGTCTCGATCTTCGTTCCTCTCCTTCCCCGAGAAGGGCACTTAAGCACGGGGCGTTGTTTGAGGTCTCGTTTACCAGTGGTTCTTCTGCTGCGGGATCCTCATCGGTGCATTGGGCGTGGCCATGGCCGGGCTCCCAAGGGTTACAGGGGATTCCTTGGGGGGCCTGATGTCTTCAGAATGTGTGAAGAATTTTTGTGGAGAACACGTGAAGAATATGTGAATATGATGCAGGCAAATCATACTCTGGAAGATCTGGAAGAGCCCAAGAAAGCCAGCCCTCTTAGGGCTTACCAACTCGAGAGCGCGTGTGCATACTGCGTGGGGTTCGATTTTGTCTTCCTGCCAGGGAGGTGCAGCACAGTTGGCTTGGGAACTTCCTGTGCCGTCCGGAGTGAGCGTCTGTAGCCTTAAAAAGATGTCAACGATGCAGATTGCGCGATGCACAGTACACTTCGGTCCGGATGCGGGTGTTGGTGTTTGTGGTTTTGCGGACTCGCATGTTACTCCCTGTTGTTCTCAGCAATCTGGTAAACATTCTTTTTCATGCGTTGAAGCCCTCGTTGCTGGTGGATGACCTGATGAAAGAAGAGATTGGGGCTGGGCTTTAGGGTAAGTGGCACCCATTGGCTGCACGAGAGTTCCAGATCACCAACGTGGGTCGTTTTCTTGTAACACCTGAAGCAAAGGCTTGACTTTTAAGGGTTGGTGTTTTTAGACTGATGGCTGAGATGTAGGCTTGTTAGCGTCGCTGAGGTTCGAAATGACTGGCAGGCTCAAAGCGGCACAGATGCAAAAAGTTGGCACCACAAATCGCCACAACTGAGAGCCCCCCGTCATGCCTCGCCATGATAGAGCGTCGTCGTGTAAAGAACAGCTGTTGGTATGTATTGTGCAACTCATATAGTTGCGAAAAGTTCTGAGAGGCACGCGGAACGTCATTGAAGCCTAAGCAGCTCTGAGTTTCGCAGCCTGCCGCAAGCCTGTCTTCAAGCCCTGACCTGGCCTTCGGGGGCTGAGGGGTCTTCGGGTCGTTTCAAGTGCTTCCCCACGTACATCCAGTCGCAACTGGATGCCCTCGAACACCTCTCGGCTCTATCGATGGCTTTGCAAGTCGCCCCCTTCTTGGACACAGCAGGCCTTGCAGCTCCCTCTGCTTGCTCCGGCTTTTGAGCCTTCACTACCTGAGGCATGACCAGCAGTGCCTTTTACGTTGCTCCACACGGGCTGCCGCTGAGCCTACAGAGTGTAAAGTGCTCACGCAAGTTCCATGGGCTAAGGTTGGGAAGTTTCATGCAGGGTTTAAGACTAGACCCGGGTTGGATGTGGATAAAACGCGCCGCAGACTCCAGAATGCGCATGTCAAGCAGGCATTTTGGAAATTTGGGTTCTGGTGCAAGATCTCAGAGCAGTTTTGGCAAAGCTGCGGCAGGCACTTTGCGTTTCGATGTAGTCTGCAACACTTCGCCGAGAGCTTGAGGCCAGAGCTTGCCGGTGAATCCAATTAGGTCCCAAAAGTGTCATGAGGAGCCCCCCGGCAGAAACAAAGTTATGGTCAGGACCCCCAAATGGACCAGATTTTAGAGAAGTGACCAACGTGCTGTCCGAAATCTTGCGAAGCCCAGGTTATCCGGCCTGCTGTGGACGGTGGCCAATGTCTGGGCCACGAGGTGGATGTGCTTTTGTTGGGTGGTCCTTTTTGAACTCCTAAGTGCCAATGTGCTGCTAGAGGTAGCTCGACTGTGAAGTCACCAAAAGCCATTGCTTTCTTTGTACATTGTAGGGTCCATGTGGCAGAGCCTTCTCACGTTCTAGAGGTCAGCGATGGAAAGTTCAAGCATGCTGTACGTAACGGCAATCGCCAGTCCTGTGTTGGGCGTTGCCGGCCAGCATGTGGTACGACTCGAAGTGTTTGTAGAAGATGCAATGTCTCTGCTGATTTCCTCGGCTCCGACTTGGGCATTGAAGACTGCCCCCTCCCCTCCCCCCAAGTTGCAGGGCCGTTCAGTACTTCGGCATCGGCAACTACTACATCTGGTGGGGACCTCGGCTGCCTTGCTTCGCCACCTTCAGGGCTTCTCCTCGCATCGGAAGGTCTTCAGCGTTCTGCGCCTTGCTTAGACACCCTCCAAGCGCCAAGGCAAGAGTACCTTGCAAGCTGTAGACTGGAAACCAGCAACCACCCCAAGCTTACGGGCAGATTTGCCTCAGACAACTCCAACGACGGCTTTGCCCCCCCCCGAGGCATGAGCTAACGAACCTTTTCGGCACCTTTGTGATCGGTGTCTTCGGGCCGAAAATAGGCATCCCGGCAAGGTGCGCCCTGGTTCTGCCTGGTAGAACTTGGACTATTGCCAAGACAATGCTGAACTCACCGAGCCTGCTCTACCTTCTATGATTTCGTGTGTTTTGCTTGTGCATTTTTGGGAGAGGGACCCTGAGTTTTCTGCAGGGCCGGGTTGAGGAGGCAAGCCGTTGAAATCGATTGTAGCAAGGGAGGCCGAAGCCTGATAGACCACGTCCTGCGCAGGCCGCCGAAAATTGAGTGGCTCGCCGGGCTCGGCTTCATTTGCGTCTTCCTTGGCATGCGACTGGGCACCAACTCCCCCCCTTGAGGTTCCCACTGTGACCCAGAAGGGCGGAAGGGCGAAGCATAAGCACTCAGACCCTCGATCCAAAACCACGGCAGGCCACAACGTGGGCCCAAGCACCGCAAACTTGATGCCGTGTGTTGCTGGGACCAAGCCTTTAACGTCCCAAAACCTCGACATGTTCAGATTCGTTTCGCTTCTGTTCACTTAGCCTTAAGACTTTGGTCCAAGCGATGCCTTGGGATTGGGACTGCCTTCTTGAAGCCGAGGATCCCTGTTGTGTTCTTGCGCCAGGGCCCTGGCTTTGCATCTCGAGTAGAGTAGTTTCTCGTACAAGGCTTTGAGCTCGTCCTGGGTCCGTCCTTTACTGTACTTGACTCACGTTCCGGACTGCTTTTTGCGGCAGGGTCTGTGTCCGTTTTGATTCAAGGGATCAATCTCACTGAGCTTTCTGAGGTGTCCAGGTGCCAGTTTATTTGCTGCCTTTGACATCCTTCTGAGTTTCAGTGTCTCAGGGTTTCTGAAACGTAGTTCAATGCGCACGTGGGGGGGGGGGGCTGGGTTGTTTTGCAGCACGCAGACCCCTTCCGAGAAGAGTTGCTGCAAGCAAGCGGTGTTCAATGACAAGCAGCACGCAGCAGCAAAGCGTGCAAACCCCTCTGGCCGAAGCTGCGAAGCTCAAGGCGAGGAGAAGGCGGAGGATGCGGAGGATGCGACCCCGGCCAATCCGACGACAGCAACGAACAGCCCGGGCCTCAAGTCAGCCCAATGGCGCAGTCAGCTGATGGCGCAGCGCTTTCTCTTACTCGGCTCTCTCGGCCCTTCCACTTTTTTTGCTCTCAGTAGTCTGTGTTCTTGGGACAGGTCACTTCTCTGTTGCTAGTTAGGCGAGCACAGGAACCAGGCTTACGGCCCGAATCCGTTTCTAGCTGATCCCCTGTAAAAGTCGTGGCTGGTGCGAAAGGAGTGCAAAGGAGTCACCAATCGTTGCAGTTCGATAGTCCCATGTGCGGAGAGGAATGAGGGCCTGGTGAGCAGCCCATGAGGCCTAGAAACGCTTTTTCGACCAGAGATACAGGAAGGCCAGCGCAAGACCGACGGGATCAGTTCGGGTTGCAGCTGGGGGGGGGTTCATATGGGAGGGGTTTCAGATTTCGGTTGAAACTGCTGCGGGGCTCGGTTTCGTCTCCATATGTTATTATCATCAACTTTGCAGCTCGCCCGCTATCCCCGACGATGGGAATCAAGGAAAAAAGGTGTGTCCTACTCGTACCATCTTTGCTCTTCTGCTCCCCCGCCAGGCTCGACAGCGAGTCCCAGCCCTGCCTGGAATCTCCCGGAGGTCGTCGTCTTGGTGTCGCTGAAATCTCGGGTTTCGGGATCATCCGGGATCTGTGCTTCGTAGCTTGATGTTGTTGGCTTGTGTTAGCTTAGGTTTGAGTGTCTTGCGAGGTCAGAGCTCTCTGATTCTGCCTTCTTCGGGGGAACACCTACGTCTGACACATTCTGACACTCCTTGGCGCTATTGTAGGCCTATCAACACCATTCCCCTCCCCATTCTCCTTGGGAGTCCCCCCAAGAAAGCATTCTTTAACCCAAGTAGAAACCCAGAACCTCAGGTCCTCCAGGTCACCCAGGGGTCCGTTGCTGCAGCCAATGCGCTGACGTGGGACGGTCGGGACTTCAGTCAGATGGCCTTCAAGCCGACAGGGGATGCGATGTAACGAGTGCGGCGTTGTGTGTGTGTGGGTGTGTGTGTGTGTTTTCCGTTTTTCGGCTTCTCGGCTGCGTCTCTTGTCCTGTTCGCCTTTTGCATGAGAAGGCACCATGGGAAGACCCGATGTCGAGCAGCTGCGACGCCTACGATTTCCAGCGGGCCCGCTGAAGCTTCTTGGAGGGCACCTCGCAGCCCGAGTAGGACGGTTTTGCCACCTGTATGACACAACCCCAATTTGTGTTCTGGCAGATGAACCTTTTTAACCTTGAGCACCCTGTACCTGACCTCCCCACCAAGTCACGTCCTTACACCAAGAACCCTGGAGCTGTCGATTGGAGGCTTCAACCCAGCTTTCCAAGCCCCATACCCTAGTAGCACCCCAACCTCAAGCCAACTGATGAGGCTCGACACTCTTTGTTCTGGCGGGCTGCCGATCATTGCGGCCTCGATCCTCGAGGCGCGGCCACCCCGAAACAGAGAGGCGAAGGGGGGACTTCGAAGGAGGTTATGTTTTTGTGTGTGTAGGGTCTGTCGATTGCCGGGCTGGACTCGAGGTAGGTTTCGTCGGGCTGGCAGGCATGGAGTCGACAGTGGAGAACAGTTGACGCGCTGTGAAATGGCATGGATCAAGGGTTCAGAGACGCTCACAGCTTCACAGATCTTCGCAGAGCTTCGCAGAGCTTCGCAGGAGGAAGCTTGAAAAACACCCCCAGCCGCTGCAAAGGCTACACAAATCGCCAAGATTCATCAAAAGCCCACAACCAAGCGTAAGTCGCTAGCTCAGGAGAGAGGAAGGAAGAACCCTCCCCCAAGTCCCCAAGTCCCCAAGAGGAGGCAGCAGAGGCCCCGGCACCGAGCCGGGCCTGGCTCAAGGGCTGGCTTCTGTCCCTGGTGCCTTGGCCGTTTTCTGAGCCATTTTATTGGAGTCCTCGGAAGGTCGTGTTCGTGCTTCACTCCTCGGGCTTTGCAGCTGCTCAGGTTACTGGCCTTGTGTTGTCTCTCCAGTACGAGCCGATGCTGCCATGGCAGCATTGCCCTTGGTGATTGTGGGACCCATGCGAGTCCCAGGACTCTGTTTGCTTGGGATTGCTTGGGTCCTGGGCTGACTGCGCTTCATGCACCCCGAAGCTCAGGCACGACCTTGAAGCGCGCGGCTTCAAGCCATCCGGAGTGGACTACACCTTCTCCAACTGCCTAGGCCTCCTCTTTGGCTTCTTGTGGGTTCTGGGAAGCGTCTGACTCTTGTGCCACTCGACTGAAGCTTGAGAAACTTCAGTGAGGGTCCATGCTTCGGGTCCCTAAGCTTTGGGTGGAGGTATTTTCCTGTGCTCCACCACGTACCTGCTCATTGCTAGCGGCTGGAAGAGGTGAGGTGCCAACTTGTTCTGTGTCTTTCAGTGGGGCTGCTCACGTGGATTCGAAAATGGTTTGATCAAGGTGAAGTCTCTCCGGTGTAGCTTGGGGCATCTTTCTGTTCTTGTCGCTGATGTCTCCAAGCAGTCGGCGCCAGCACTAAGAAGGCCGCCTCTACAAAATTGGCCTTTGCTTCCAAAGCTCGATCGCCGCCCTGAAAACACGCCCAAGCCAGGCTCACGCGGCAGCCCCTGCAGAAGCCGGTGTTGCGGCCCCCACTGCTGGCGGGGGTCATGTGGACCATGTGCTCCTGCGTTCATGGGGGATCGGGGGGATCTCGGGAGCTTTGAAGGCTTTCAAGACGTAAACGGCGGGCTCTTCGGGTTTGGGCTCGTGGCGCATGGTTCCCGCAATGACTTCCGGAGAGTGTTGCGGGTCAGCACCTGTCGGGGGTCTTGCGCTGAGACGTCGAAGACTGGTGCTTTAGCTGTCCCACGAAACTCCAAGTGAGCCGCGCCACAGCCCTGAAACCCCTCTGGGCCTGCTGCCATCACTTGTAAAGTATGCTGATTCTCCATGAAACCGCCTCTCCTAGCCGAGGGCCTGCTCCTGCCAGCTCTATGCGATGACGCAGCTGCCGCAACAAGCCCGCAGAAGTCCCATCAAAGGTTGAGAGCCGATTGAGTCGTGGGTTTCGGGTGCGGGAGCCTTCCTGGGGCCTTCTTCGAACTCAGATTTGCAGAGCCCAACTCGACGTGTCCCTTGGGTCACGGAGCCAACGCAGCCAAGGTATGCAGTCGCGTACTGTCTCGTCGTGGGCGGTGGGCTTGCTGTGAGCCTCCTCTGGGGCACCCTTGTCTTTGGAGAGGCTGGCTGGGGGGTGAGAAACAAGAGCTGTCGAGGGCGAAGCGCTAAGCGGCCGATTCTGAGTGTCTCACGCACTTTTCAGGTTTGCCACGGTTTGCCTTGGTTCCCCAGCTTCCACAGTGGTAGCCGCCACTACCATGAATCCTGTCCAGAATCGAGCCATGCGGAGGCTGCTGGACTTCACAACAAGAAATGCCCATCGCCTCGGTGTCAAGGGCGTTGCGTGAGGATTAAGGTTCCAAGTCTTGTGATGTTTGCTTCGCTGTCTTGGCTTGCATGGCTTCATGGCCCAAAAGCACTGCTTCATTGAGTGTGCAGAGAGCCTTCGTCTTCGGCCTTTTGTCTTTTTGGTGTGTGGCTGGGTTTCATGTTTCGGCTTTTGAGCTTGCTTCAATCGGCTTGAGCCCAAACTCGCAGACCTGAATCCCCCCCCGGTCAGCCCACAGCCGAAATCCCGCGAACTGCCCAGCTGGCATCTGGGGGGGGGCCAGGGGATCTGTTCTTCGTAGACTCTCAAAGAACATAAGTCACCGGTTCTTGCTTGTTTGCCCCTCGTTCTCGGAAAATTTTGGGGCAGTTCTCTAGGAGATTCTTATGGTATCCAAAGTTTTCCGAACACTGTATACACTTCTTGATGTTGTAGCCACTGTCCTTTTTCATAAGAGGGCCCCAACCCAAGGATAGAATATTCCAGGTCTCGCCTTGGCCTTCCTCGGAGTTTTCCTGGGCCTGGTGCTGCTGGGCCTCGCTGCATGAGGAGGGCGAAGGGGGGGGGGGGCAAAGCACACCCCCCCGAAGCAAATCCCAAAGCTGGATTTGGGGCATCGGCGTTTATGGTTGCCGGCTATGCTGGAGGCTGCTGGAGTCTGCATGAGAAAGTGTCCAGACTCCACGAGGCTCCCTGCTTTCCTGGAAGCTAGGGCTTTGGGAAGGTGCGAGTGGTTTCCGGTTTTGAGCGGCTTTGCCATCTTGAGTCTCATGGGCCTCGGTGCATGGAACCGCTCGTGCAGCGCAAAAAAGGCCCGATCGAGGTCAGATGCTCGGCTAGCCCAAGCAGAGTGTCGCCTGCAGGGCATGAGCAGAGCACTGGTTTTGAGCACAGTTGCAGGTGAATGTTTCTGTGATGGCTGATCTGCGGTTGAAGATCTTTGAAGCCGCTTTGACGTATTCTACAATGGGAGGCTACGGGAGGCAAGCTTGTATGTGCGATGTCAGGCAAGTGCTCCGATCTTCGTTATGTTGTATTTCTTGTATTTGTCTTCTTTGATTTCTGTGATCGTTCGATTTTGTTGCTCGTTTTGTTCATTTTTATGTCGTTTCATGTGCATGGCATGTCGTTACATAAGAACATATCCTGGGGTAGATTGGGCCCGGAGTGACAGCGGCCGAACATAGGAATATAATAGAACAGAAGTGCAGAAATAGAAGCAGAACGTGGCGTTGAGCACCGGTCCCATTTTCGTGTCGTGTGCCCATGTGTTGCTTATTTTGGGTTATGTTCTTGTCATTTTTCTGGTTCCTACATTACTTGTAGAAGTTTGAAGGACAAATACGATCTCACAGGGACGGGGGCAGCTCATGCTCCCAGCTTAGGAGCAACACGGAGCCCGATGGCGAACTCAGCCAGGCAGCCAATCGATGCGGGACAATGCAAAGGTGGAGTGGGGGCGGCCTGGTCAGAGGAAAAGTCAAGAAGAAGCTGCAGACCTGGATTGAGAGAGCTTCAGCAGTCGATCTGGCTGCTTGTCGCTCTTGTCCTCTTTGTCTTGCGAGCGTAGGCGCGGCTTTGTGTAGAACTCATCCGGTTTGCCCAAGCTTTAAACTTTAGTCTGCCTCGTTCAGGCTTTCGCTTTAGCCCGTTTGAAACTTAGAGAAAAGGTCATCTCAGGTCTTCTTTTTGCCTTTTTGCCTTGACTGGCCAGGGCGCCTTGGAAATGAGCCTAACTAGGGAGCAGCCATAAACGAAGCAAAAACGATTCTGTTGCCTTTGTGCTGAACATGCTTAATGCCAACGCAAACCCGATGCGTAGCGTATCACCTTTGGGCTTCGAACCGCTCAGCGGTGCTCGTTGTGATCCGAATGTGTGGCAAGCTGTATGTTGTAGCCAAGCTAAATCACGACGAGCGTGCTTGAGGGTCAGTGTTGGTTTAAGGATTTCGGGCGCAGGGTTTGGGGTTTAGGGCGAGACCTTGAGCCTTCTGCAACTCTGCGCCGCCCCAATCCTTGAATATGTACATATATATATATATGCGCAGGTATACATATGAATGTATGTATGTTTATACGCACATATACTTGGAATCCTGGAGGCGATATGTTCAACTCTGTGCCGTGCTCTTTATGGTAGTTCTTTAAGTAGCTTTGGGCTGAGGCTCCCATGAACACTAAACCCTTTGCACCCTAAACCTTAAACCCCTGAACCCCAAACCCAACGCCCTGAACCCTAAACCCTAACCCCAAAAACTTAAGAGGCCACCAGCCATGAGCCCGACACGTTGTACCTGCAGGTGCATTTCGCCTAAACTCTCCGCCAAGTGGGGTTTTGGGGTTTAGGGTTCAGGTTTGGAGAAGCAGCCGACTTGTGACACTCCGAAACTCGCCGAAACTCTGAACCCTGACACCGAACCCTAAACTGCCCTTGTGCATGCCTTGAGGCCCGAAGCAGGCGCGTCAGCGGGAGGGATGTTTCACCACCAAACCCGGCCCTTCCGCCATTTCCCAAGCCATAGCTCCCCTCCTTGTTATATCTTGGAGGATGACGAGGTACGGCTCTCTTATCGCCGCCATTCTGACCTTGTTCCAGGCATGCTCTGCCTCCATATGCGGCGCAGCACCTGAGGCACCCTGGGCATGCGCGGACTACGAGAACGACTGCCTTGCTGGAAGGGCTGCCGAACCATGTGTGTGCCTTAAAGGCTATCACCATGTTGGCAAGGAGAGCTGGTCTCCTTCAATTCACAAGAATTACGAGTTTACATGCTGCCCGGGAGAGGGCAAAGGCAACAGCTGTGGTGAGGATAGCTACGTCCAGGTTATATTCCCTTCCCTGCTGGGTGTTGGTTTACTTGGAGTCACCATAAGCACCATCGTCATCCAACGTCGGCAAGGTCTCGCGCCTTTGACAAAGGAAGACCTCGCGGTCACAGAGAACCCCGTGATGCTTGATGGTTCAAGGCTGCATCAAATGGTCGAGAAAAGCATGTGGTGCGTAACGCTCGACGACTTGAGACAATTTGGTCGCCTTGTTCGGCACGCCATTGCAAAAGGAGCAATTCAACCCACAGACCAAGATCCATTTGACACTGCAGACATCAGGATTGGCCCATCCGTGTACACGGTCACCATGCAATACATCAAGCCAGTGACTGCTGCAGCCGGCAACCCGAGCTGGGCATTAATGAAGCACCCGAAAGGATTAGTGTGTGACTTGTTCATTACGCATGGATGGGCTGAGGGCATTTTCGAATTTGTGGACCAGGTGGTGAACTCATGGCCACCGGGTGCAAAAAGTGCGTACGTTTGCTTCCTGTCCAACCCACAGAATCTGGACATTGCAGAGATGATAGCAAATCCCGAAGAGTCGCCTTTTGCCAAAGCGCTGGCGTCAGCAACAGAGGTCCTGGCAGCACCAAACCGGAAAGAAAGCATCTATCAGAGAGCCTGGTGTTGTTTTGAGGCCTACCTGGCATACAGCTGGGGCAAGCCGATTTACACCGCCTTTTCTCCGCCACCACATTTCTGGTCGAAGTCATTGCGTGCATCGAGCTGGGCATTGCTCATGTTGGGCACCTGCGTCAGCGTGGTGATGATCGGGAACAGGCAGTGGGCACTGGTCAAGGCCAGTCATATCAACTTGATGACGCCCATTTTTGCAGGCCTGGCGGCTCTTTGCGGCTGTATGTTCACCTTCTTGATGAGGGCGGGCAAGTGTCACTGGAAGCTCACTGAAGCTGCAGTCTTTGGATGCAGCACCTTTACTGCATGCTATGTAGCAACCTACACCTTCGACAACTCTCTAAGAAGGCCTGCGTGCTTCGTGCCCATGTTCATGGCTCCGATTTGTGCCTGGGCGCTGGAGTGCGATCGGCTTATGGGTTTGGAGGCTGCCAAGCAGGCCAGGCACTTGCGTGCCGGATTCACGGGAAAAATCCGTGATGCGAAGACCTCCAACCCGGTTGATGGTGAGCAGATACTGAACAGCATTGAGCGCAGTGGATTGGAAGCGGCTGTCGATGAAGCCGTGGCGGTGCTTCTTCGGATGTATCTGTCCACCCCAACGCTACGCCATGCCACAGCAGTCGCGGGGACATTGGGAAATGGACTGAACTGGAGCCGCAGCATCTTTGCATACAGCATGTGGCTCTGGCTTCTGCAGGCCTTCAATACTCCCTTGTGGCGGACTGAGCCAGGGTTTGAATGGATCCCGCCAGTGGCCGGAGTGGAAGTCGTCCTTATGGGCATTCTTCCGCAGCTGCAAGCCCGAGACCGAAGGCCTTTTGCTAACAGAGCCCAGTCCCTTCTGCTGCTCTTCGTTCCCTTGTTCATTCCGGGCATCAATCTTGGAGGCAAGTGGAGGGATGCTATTTTGCACGCTGCTGCGGCTCCTTTGATGATCCTGGTTGCTGCTGCCGGGCCCAGGTACACCGCACGCTTCCCGCTGTTGGGCCCCCCGATCGTCCGCTTGTTGTTTGGACGCAATCCCTTCCGGCGAGAGACGGAGGGCCAGAAGGGAGACGCTGCGGAACCCACAGCATCAGGGGGAGCACAAGCAGCCGAAGAGGAAGATGACTTTGTTTCACTTTGAGCCTTTCGAAGGCGCGCTGCATGCTTCGACAAATCTGCCGGCAGCTGTGCTTGCTTTGCTTTGGTTCGTCAGCCGAAGCCGTCCCTGAAGACGAGATCCGACGGTTGGCAAGGGCTTTAGAGTTCCGGGGTTTTGGGTTGAAGGGGTTTAGAGTTTAGGGGTTCAGGGTTGCAGGGGTTTATAGGGTTTCGTGTTGTTGAAGGCCAAGCCCTCGCTGCTCAAGGCCAAACGCTCGCTCTAAAGGCTGAACCCTCGCTGTTAAAGGCAAAACCCTCGCCGCTAAAGGCTACACCAGGAGCGTCACGCCCCGGAAAGTCCCGAAACCTCATTCCTTGTGTTGAGCCACAACGTCCAGACTCTTCCTTCCAGGCTTTAAGTTCATGATTTCGTGTTCAGGACACCGGAAAAGAGCCGCAGTTGGATGAAACGGCTAGTTTGGGGTGTTCCCGTTTGTTCAGTCTGCAGATGTCGTTGCCGTTCATTTGCACCGTCCGCGCCACGGAATGATGCCGGCACCAGGCAACAAGAAAAGCCACAAGATGTCGCCACGACTAGGATCATGTCAAGACAGCGCTAGGGGCATATTGCAGATTCTGATTTCGCGCGCAGTTTTGTGGAATAATTTTGCTCGCAGCTAGCACATCGTTGGCTCCGGCTCCTCCCGGGGAGCCCAACTCCCAGCGCGTAGAGTTTCGGTTCTCCGTCAATATTGGCGAAAAACGGGCGGGGGGAATGTCGCCAAGTGGGGGACTGCATGTCTGAAACCTCCCTCGTGCCTGCAAAGGTTTATTCACAGCCGTAGGAGCTTGCAGAGGACATGATTAGTGGCATCATGTGGCTGGAGTCACCAACCAAAGCTCCAGAACATCCAGTTTGCATTCCAGTGGGCATGTGTAACGGAAGATCCCATCAAGACTCTGCACCCGTCAAGTCCCCGAAAGTTCCGTAAACAGGAAGCTCCCCAAACGCTACCATCATGCCGAAAGTAGGACTAGGACGCTGAATTTCCATGGCGGGGTTCTTTCGAGTGGCCGTGCTGCTCCTGCCCTTACCGGCGCTGGGGCGCGGGAGGCGTCAGAGTTTCAATTCGAGGGCTTCTTGGGGGGTTTTGGGTCGTTCTTGTCTGACTTCTTCTTGCTGCTTCTTCCTAAGTGGACATGAAAAGGTATTAAAAGGACGGAGAGTGCAGCACGAGCAGCTCGGGCGTCAGCTAAACACAGCCGTGCCGACCTGTTGAGTCTCTTATAGTGAGTTTCGGAGTCTCGGGGGCAGCTCTCGGAGATGCATTCAGTGTGCCAGGCTCTTCGCTCTTCAAACTTGCCCCCAGTGCCCCATTCCTAGTGGAGGTCGCCCTCCAGTCTCGCGCTATGTCCGCTATGTGTCAGGCTTCCCCGTCTTGACACTGATCTTGCGCCCAAGTCCGCGGTTTCATCCCAGTGAACCACTCAGAGCCCACTACAACCTTCGTGTTTAACAGATGAAGAGTTCTCCGAAACCCTAAACCCTCCAGACCACAAATAGAAACTGCATAGCGTCATGAAGCACCGCGGTCCATTCCAAACAGAAGCCAATATCATAGATGTTTGGCACCATAACATATAGGCATTTTGGCTGGTTTGGCGGCCTTGAAAAGCCCCAAATGGCCAGTTTTAGTGATTGTGGACCTTTTTTGGCTTTCACAAACCGGAATCTAGTGCAAAAACATAGGGTTTTTTGTGCAGTTTGGCGGCCTTGAAAACCCCCACATGATACATTCTTGTGATTTGTTGACCAATTTGGGCTTGCACAAACCCCCAGCCCCGGGCAAAAACACAGTGATTTTCGCTAGTTTGGCGGCTTTGCAAACCCCCGAAATGGCCCATGTTTAAACATGTTTGACCAATCTGGGTCTTCACAGACCCCCAATCTAGCGCAACACGTAAGCATCTAAGGATTTTCGCTAGTTTGGAACCCCAATTTAGGGCCAAAACACAGGAACCCCTAGCCTAGAGCCAAATTACAAAAAAAATGTCATTTGAGGGCTTGAAAACAGGCTGAAAAAAGCAGGTAGGCGTTTTTCAGCAAAAAGCAAAACGAGAAACTCGTTCTAAACCCGCAGAAACCTGCACAAAACTCCGGGCCTAAACCCTATACAATTTCTATAAGCCCTAAACCCTAAACCTTAAACCCTAGACCCTAGACCCTGAACCCTAAACCCTGAACCCTAAACCCAAACCCCCAAACCCTGAACCCTCAACCCTTCGGGGCTTCAGGCAGCTGACGACCGTGAGCTGCCCCACTCGCAGTTCCCTGCACACGGAATGGGGCTGCCCGCCGCTGGGCTGGAAAACCCTCTGCGTTCGCCAGTTTTTTTGGTTGACCCTAAACCCTAAACCCTAAACCCGAAACCCGAAACCCTAAACCCGAAACCCGAAACCCTAAGCCCTAACCCTAATGCGAGGCGTGCCTCTCTCGAAGTGAGAGGCATACGCGTACCCCAAGTGGCTGACACAGTTTTTTGTAAGTGGATTTGTGTCTCTGGTACTGCTTTCCGTGCGTCCTGGACTCTTCCTGATCCGGTTCCGAGGCCTAGGATCCTGAATGTGATTTAAGGTATACTCCTTACTTGAGGGGTATTGAGCTCTTTGGGTGGTATGTTTGGTAGGTTTGAAGAATTGGACAATATAACATGACAGCTGAGTTCATATGATTAATTCTCACTCATGACTCTAGGTGATTATCTGTGGTGTTCTCTAGGGCGGTTTCTTCCCCTGGTGACCCTCGACTTTGTGGTTCGCTCTGGAGTTGCATGAGAGGTTATGTGCCAAGGAGCGGGAGAGGAGGTGTGACAGGGAGATTCCGGAAGGTATAACAGGCGGTTGGGGTCCGAGGGTGGGTTCCTCGTCAAGAGTGACTTGGAGCAGATACCAAAAGAAAATTCCTGCAAAGCCCCTACAATGTTCATTTACATGAAAGGCAAGTTGACGCGCGCGCTTTACTTGCATTAAGTTTATCCCCTTCCATTTTCCCGTCTCTGAACCTTCTTCGGAAAAGATCCCCCAAGGGATGGCGAGCTCGGGCCAGAGCTCCTCGTGGACCCGGGCTTCTCGGGCGCTGCCTGGGGGACCTACCTCAAGGAGCCAGGCCCGGGAAGGGCATGCTCTAGACTTGCACGTCGCTGGGGCGTGGACGCGTGGACGCGTGGAACGCAAGCCCCCAAGATCCATCAGCTCACGCCCTTCAGGCGGCGCCAGCTTCAGCTTCACCGGTAACGGCGTGGCCGTCGATGCTGCGGCGGACGACGATGCAAACTGGCAAGCCGAATAAGGTGTGTGTGTGTGTGTGTGTGTATTTAACATATATACACATATAGACATATATATGTGTATATTTATACATTGGAGGCGCTTTAGAGTCGAAGCATTCGCTTCGGCTCCCTGAGCTGCATACTCGCCGTGTGCGTGAGGAAATGTGTGCTCCCCCCGGGGGCAGTCTGAAGTGTTCGTCTCGTTTTTGTTCCCTCAGCTTCCTGAGGAGACGCCGTGGCACGTGCAGCTGACACAGGCGATCTCTCTGGAACAAGGCTCAAACCTCAGGGGATCCGAGCGGCTCTTGCGCAGGGCTTAAAGTGATGAGGAAGCCTGCCTCATGGTCGCAGAACGTTTGATTGAGAAGTGGTGCACAGGAGCAGTCAGAGGATGTGCACCTCGAAGCCAGGGATTTGAGGTTCCGGCGCAGCGTGCGAAGGGAATTCCTGGTGTCGAGGATGCAGTCTTTCGTGCCTTGCGCTTTTGTTTTCTTCGCCGACAACCCCCCCAAGACTGACATGGCCTGACATTTGGACTCCATCTGCCGCAGCCAGGTGGCGCCACGGAGTCTTTTTATAGCCTGTGCGTCCAGGCATCTTCCACGGAGGCGCCGCCAAAAGGGGGGGGGTCTCTGTTGCAACAGAGGTGAGTGAGATTGGTACTGTTGGTTTCTACCAGCTCCAAGAGACAGATCTTGTATAAGTAAACAGCGAAGGTGATTGTGGCTTGCCGACGAGGGGCGTGCAACAAACTAGGTACATACGCTGTCAGGTCCTTTTTAGCGCAGTGACAGATCTAGAGTTCGCGGTTGGGACGGTTAGATGTTCGGAGCGTGACCAGGGTATAGAAGTGCTAGTGCGAGTATTGTTTGGATGTATGCGGATATACATGTTGAACAAAACGCTTGAAGAGATGCTAAGCATAACGCCATGAGAATTGAACAGAAGGATGCAAGATCAGGAAAGAAGAGCAGAGAAACGTGAGCAGAGAAACGTGACAGAGGGCACGCAACCCGTGTAGAGCTGCAGGAAGATGTACTAACGTGAGAATGATGACTCTCACCAGGAATATGCAAGGCATGGGGCGAGAAAAGCCTTGCAATGAACGCTACCCAAAATCGTAAATGTGCAACATTTTGTCCTTGGCGAGAATCAGTGCCGAAACTCAGTTCAAGCATTGAGCATTGTGTGCTTGGACCATTGGAAGAGAAAATAAGAGCCACGAGTATCTTGGCTTCGCAGTGCCACTGCCAGGCACTGCATCTGCACAGAAGCTTCGATGTTCATTTCTTGACTGATATGCCTTTGAACCTATTTAGGCATGTGGACGGTGCACCATTCTGGAAAGCTTCCGTCTTCAAATCTTGCTCCTTGAATGTTTGTGATCTGCTAGGCCCTCCATGCCCTCCTGCACATTCTGAATAGTCCGTAAACCCGAAGCCCTGAGCCGGAAACCAGACCCTGAAGGCCGGCACGATCCAATTCGCTGTGGACGCCGACGGCGCTCTCAACTTTGCTGTGGCCGGGGGCGGCGTGCGTGCCCAGCGGCTTGGCGAGAGGGTTGCGGGCTTGCGACGGATGCAGGACCTGGAGCAAGCTGGGCAGGTTTGACGATGTTTTTGTGGGCGTATCTCGGTATTTCTCAGACACACGGGTCGGGTGATGACTCGCTAGACTCCCTTCACGAGACTGGGACCAGAACCCTCCTTCCAGAGGTTCCTTTTTTCGCAACTGCTCTTTTGGATTCTTTTGCCGTGGCTCCAAGACGGGGGCGCAGGATGCACATTGAACAAATCTTTGCTTCCCTCGTGCATCCTTCCGTTCTTTTTTGGAATGGAGCCCGTGGTTCCTTTCAAGTATCCCTGATGTCCGCGCGATGCTCGCGTTCTGCTCACAGAGCTCCACTCGGTTTGTGTTTTCGACAGGCGCGGACCCACTGCAAGAAGGATCATTGGAGCCGTGATGCAACATGCACGCATCTCCATGGAACGCACAAGCTTGTGTCTCCTCCTCTGTACAAGGCAAATGTCTGCTGCTGATTCCATTTCTCTTTTTGGGTCTTCGCTGGACCTGCTGGATTTCTGGCGATGTTCCGACCTACCCGAAGCCTTGTCCCATGAAGAGCGTCGAAGGCTTGTGTCAAGGAAAAGGCAGCTGCAGGATAGAGGCGCAGAACTCTTTGGAGACTTCTTGGCTTCTCAACTCCCAAAGCCATAAGCTTCAGACCCTTACTGACGCCTGCTGACCCCTCCCCCCTCTCGAATTCGAGGATGAGCTTGGCCGGCGATGGCCGGTTCCGCAACCATTGCTTTAGCTTCCGCAGCCCGGCAGCACTCACGTACAAGTCACCTCCCGGAGACTCGACCTTGGCTCCGCCACAACAAAAGGAGCGCGGTGAAGGCATGGTATCCCATGGTATCCCTTCACCCGCCCAGTCCGTCAGCAAACCGCCTGAGCCTTTGAGGCCCATACCTCCCACTTAAACTGCACTGTTCAGGCTTGGGGCCGTCGGATTTCACATACCAAGGTGCGCCGAATTCGAATTCGAGGGACTTTGGCTTAGGGGATTTGGGGTCGGGTTTCCAGCGTGGCTTTTCAGAGGCTCTCACAGGCTTTCGCATATTGGAGGGCTTCTTGGGGCAGTGCTCGTGCGTATTTGGGAGGCTTCCTGTCTGTCGCAGGCACCAGCCAAAGATCGTATGTGTAGTCTGTAATGTACTTTGAGGAGCATGCTGCAGAGATTGAGCTGAACGCAAACACCGTAACGCTGTCCTCTGACCAAGATCTGACTAGCTTTCAGAAGCCCAAGCCAGCAGCCCCATGGAAAGCTTGAGCCTTAAGTCACAAGCTTGGTGATAAGCTCTGTCACAGACAGTCTCGAACTCAGACGCAAGGAATGGCTTCGTTTTGCACTTGTCGTAAGTAGGTCACGAGGACTACCCTGTTTCACGACAGACGCAAACTCAGCCGAGTGATATCCCCCATCATATCACACCCGGTATGCAGGGCGCGTTGCCCTGGACTTGGGCGCCGTGAAAGACGTGAAGGTGCCTTCCTCTTTATTCAGGAGACCTTGGTCTGACTTTCGAACAAGGTCTGAAGATCCATGAACTAAGTCTTTAAGCCAGCAGGATCCAAGAGACAAGAAAAGAGCCAGCGGAATCAGCGGCAGGTGAGTCGAATGCACAGGCCAAGTTGCTCGCGTTTCGATCCGAGGTATGTCACGCATCGCTCAAGCGCTGCGCGGTGCGCCCCAGGGCGATGGCCCCGTCTGCATGCCAGAGAAGACGGGGAGAGAAGTCGGGGAGAGGAGATGTTCGGAAGTCTTGCGGTTCAGAGGCAGGAGCCAGGAGCTTCTGGCATGACACTCGGGTTTTAAGGGCTGTCAGTGCCGCAACTCTGCGCGAACCTGAAGCATGAAAATGCGTAAACAGGCATGTGGTTTTCAACCTTGGCTCTCAGCTGGCGGGGTCATCGTGAGGTGGCTGGCATCACGCCGGTGAGGCGGTGCTACCTCGCTCCGCCACCCGGACAAAGAACGTACCATGCAACCTTCTCCCGAAGGGTAACCCTAAACCCTAAACCCTAAACCCTAAACCCTAAACCCTAAACCCTGCTGTGAGGCCATGTGGGCTTTAGCAAGGGGGCAGCTGTTGATGCCCGTACAGGGCGAGTTCTTTTCGAGCATGCTCGGTGTTCGGACCGTAGTCTGTAACGGTAAGGTGAAACAGGCTTGCCAGGCCTGCACGAAAATGATGGCTACAAGGAGCGCAGGTAAGGTCGAGCAAGTCAGAGCTTGCACACAAAAATGGGCGCCCTCAGGGCACGTGAATATGGAAAGGGGGCTGCAGCCCAACAAACTAATTTCCTCTCCCTCTTCCAGGCTTGATAGCCTCACTTGGTAAAGGGGTCGTCGAAGGCTTCGAACTCCACAGGCGTCCTTGCCGGTCGAAGGAAGCACCATGAGGAGGCGTCTCATCGCAGTACCCGATGAAGTTGTTGCGCCACGCCGCAGGCAGCCAATCAGGAGCTGTCCGGGAACTCTGGGCCTGGAATGTTACAATCGACGAACTTGCAGACCGCTTAGCACCACCGCCATCAGCACGATCTTCATGGGGCAAAGAAGACGCGGGTGGCGCAGAAGTCGGTCCGGACTCAACATCAGTCGAATATCTACAGTGGGTCCCCTCAATCCCAGGCACCATCTCGACGTCAGCTGACGTGTCACATGCACCAGGAGCAGAAACCGCAGCCTTAGCTTCCCTCCTTTGCTGCCTCTTCCTTTGCCTGCGCTCAGCACTGCGCTGACGCAGACGACGGACCAAGGCATCATCATCCAGAGCGCCAGTGTCACCACCAGCACTCGGGGAGCAAGCAGCATTCCCCGGGACCATCACTGACGCAGCAGCCGGAGCATCAGCCGGCCGCAACGCGGCCGACACAGCAGCAGCGGCAACCGCCGCGATGGTGCGGCGCGGGGCCTTTGCATCGCACGCGGCACGCACAGCCGCAGCCACAAGGGCTGAGCCATGGCGCACCGACATTTCTCTCCTATGTTCGAAACCTAAGGGGAAAGCCTCGAACAGCAGTCGCTTGAGCCTTATCGAGCATGCTCGGGAAGTCTTCGTTTAAGCATGGTGCTTGAGTGTATGAGTTACTACTTGCTTAAGAACCCCAAAAAATCAAAAACAATGATCCCTGTATTTCCCTCATAAGAAAGAACATTTTTTGCTGGGGTTCTTAAGCAAGTTTTCGTGCGGAGGCTCTTAAGTCTTAGGCTTTGGCATTTCGGGGCTCGGCTTAGGTCCTTCCGGAAGCATCTAGCCAAACAATGAGCTTTCGTGCCTGCAAGTCCATGTTCAGGCTTGCAGTCTTTGATTTTTATGCGAGCCGCTGGTGTTTTATACATCGACTCGAAGACCTCACGCGCAGCCCAAGATTCCAAGATCTTGCGAGACCCCTAAACCATGACCCCTGGCACGAGACGCCCTGGAATGAAAGAAGTTTTTGGAAGTGGGCGGTTGGCTTAAGTTTAGGCCTAAACCCTAAAAAGAATAGGTTTGGGTGGTTTTGCCGCCTGAGACGGCGTGGGGTGGGAGAAAGGTGTTTGGGTGGCCCTCCACGATCGCCATGGCCGCCCTTCGCATTGCTCGATGTCTTCAAGGCTCTACTGAAAGCCGTCAGATTTGCAGCTTGTACGCCATACTACAGCAAACCCTAAACCCTAAACCCTACACCCTAGACCCTAAACCCTAAACCGCAAACCGCACCCCCCCGCCCCCCCCGCCAAGTCCCAACGGAGCGCCCCGGATGTCCCTCCTCAAAAAACCCCCCTCCTCAGGGCCTCCACACCCCCACCCCCTTGTTGCTAAGCTTCCGGGCTTTTCAATGAGGGCCGAGATTCATGCTCTGGGAACCCGGGTTCCTCGGCTTGGTCAAACAACTCACGTTCCGATGCGACAGACTCAATTGTGTTGGCCTGTGCAACTTGTTGCTGTATGCTTGGAAGCCTCAGACAGGAGTCACCAAAAGTGCAGTCATGCTTAAGGCAGAAGAGATGTTATTAGATGTAGATGAGACCGTTTCTGAAGCTGTACGTTGTTTTCGGTCATTCACTGGCTGAGTAGCGTTTTGTTCCGGGCCGCACCGCTGCGTTCAGGTAGTCTTGAGCCCACAGTGCTGCTGTTTCGCTGTTGGGGATGCGGTCTGCGGCTAGACAACAAGTGTTAGACGCAGTAGCAAGCTCAAAGACGGTTCCAGAACTCACGACTCATGATGTGCCTTTTCATGCATCTTGTGGTTTCAGGAGTAGCCGTTCATCCAAGATTTGTCGACTTGCGATATTGGCTGTTCTCCAAACCACGCAAGGACAAGTCGAAGACGAGCGTCAATTGGGTTTCATGCTGGCAGCAAAAACACAGAAGTGAGGTCGATCGCGGCCAGGGGATGTGCTCGTGAAACAAGAGCTTTCGTTCAAATAAGGTGACGCAGTGAAGCACACCATCCGCGCGATCGTATATCGTAGTGTTCGTGGGGGCATATGGTTTAAGAAAGGATTGGATTTTCGCGGAATTGTCAGGTAATGAGCTAGGGGTGTGGGATGAGGGGCAGAAACATCAAGGAACCAAACCCAAAGGGTCCGAAACGCACCATTCCCAGGCTGTCGCAGGGGCTGGGCTGCACTCTGCTGGACAGCCAGAGCGGTGCAGAGTTCCGCGAGAATCGGCCGCTGAAAACAGCAATTGTGAGCAGTTGTGAGTGGGTGTTGAGTTGAAAGCTTGGGCCAAGAAGCTGCGATCAGGGCGTGCGATTGAAGATCGTTTTTCGAGTCGAGCTGTTTTCAGGGTCCACACCTGGTATCAAATCTTTTGAAAAGCGCGCGTGACAAGTGCCCCCTGCGCCCTCGACCCAGACCCCAATGAAGCCTTTGAAGTTTGTCAGGCATGGCCAGGCGACTTGTCTCCAGATCAGGGGGAACTAGGGCGGTTCTGCTCTCGAAGTTTTCTGGTGGTGGGCACTTCTTGAAGGTGCAGAGTGGAACGCCGCAGAAACGCCTCGCCAAGGAAACCACCGGAAAACAAGCATGCCTGCGAGAGATGCGGGTACTTGCAGGCGCTGCCACGATGATTGGGGCAAGCCACGCAAGCCATGCAAGCCATATGCAAGCTTCAGAGTATTTAGAATTACCTCCAAGCATCTAGCTTAGCAGTTCGAAGCATGAAGCAGTGCCAAGCCATGGTAAGCTCCTCAGTGTGACTAGCGGGAGGCAACACCTTCGTGTTCTCGATCGGGCAGCTTGGAAGCATATTCAGAGACTTCTCTCGAGTCTTCCTCAAGTTGCTGCGGAGGCAAAGCGATCTAGACTCCTAGGGTTTGGGGTCTAGGGTTTAGGGTTTAGGGATGAGGGTCGTTCCTACGGATTCAATGGATACCCCTCAGAGAGTTCTGCTATGGAGCGATCCTGTTAAGCCTTGGGGCTCTTTGCTCCCACTTCGGGCCAGACCAAAGCTACGGGAGCACTACAATTGCTATTCGGGGCTATTGGGGGCTTTCTGAGCGCTTTTTAAGGGCTGTTTAAAGGACTTTTTCAGGGCTATTAAGGGCTGTTAAGGGCTTTGGCTCTTTTTTGGCCCCCAGACTTTGCCCGGCGTGCGGGACAGTGCTGCTCTTGTCACTTGTCACCTCTTGGTGTGCCGGAGATTCAGGCACTGTGAAATCTGGCGGTGCCCTTCAAGAGCTGCGCTGGTGGAGGCAGCGACGAGTTCCGACTCCAAGGCAGCGCGGTGAAAGAGCTCAGATCTCTGCTTGGCAGAAGCCCGGACAAGGTGCAGAGGTCCTAGGGAGAAGGCTGCATGAAAAGGTGGTTGCGCAAACTGTGATGAATTTCCAACGGTCCGACGGCGTATCCAGCCAGACTAGCGTATGATGTGTAGATTTGCCAATCTGTCGCCAAGAAAGGTTACAGCCGTGGAACTCCCTGGCCTTGATGCTATCCAGCATTTCTATGTATTTCTTGGACCTTTTGAGCGGCAAGGAAGTCTTCAGCGAGCTTTGCGAGTACGACGAGACGGTGGCTGGGCGCCGGGGCGCCGAGAAGAGGCCTTGATGTGACCAGTGTTCTGCAGGTCTGTGCATGGCCACACAGGGTCAGGATTGCATCAGTGTTGCCCTGCTTTGGCCTTAGGCAGTGATTGAAGATTCGAAACATCACACCTTCATCGAAAGGGTCGCTCACGACATGTGCCGCAGGTCGCCAGTGTACGTACAGCTCTGGGAGTGGAACTTCGATGACATCGCAAAGGAAGAGTTGCGGTGCGTTGCGGTGCAACGTAGAACACAGCTCCAGCTGATGTCAGGTTCTTCCTTACTTGATCTTTCTTGGATGTCAGCGGCTCTTTGGCTCAAATAGCCTTCGACTTGCCGCGATGGTGTGCAGATACCTCTCGGTGGCACGGCTGGTGTTATGGCTGGCTGTATGCACGTACAGTGCGAGGGCCTCTGCGCAGTGCTTGCCTGATGCCGTGCCACCGAGCCTTCGGAAGCTCCTTCAGAGCGACACTGCAAGATTCCCATTGGGAATCTGGATCAATGGGAATCCCCAGGATCTAATCATGAGCGCCATCTTTGAAACACTCAGCCAGGAGGTGCTGGGTATAAACACGTCGGTGTCACAGCAGCGACGGCGCAGCGTTCCAGACGGGTTCTATGCCTTGGCAGGATGCGAGGCAAACGAGTCACAATGGAATTGCCACGGCGCAGAGTCGAGGATGCACGTCATGCTGGGTGCCTTCGTGGTATACAGCGAAGCCCAGCTCGATCAGGTGCAGCGCTTGCGAGTGGGTGGCATCTTGGAGCGAGTTGGCGACGGCTACGACTTCTCCCAAGGCTTGCACGTGCCCAAGGCGCTTTTCGACCAGGCGTACAGGGAACACGCCGCTTCCCTGGACTTCTTTCGCACATATGCAGCTGAAGCTGCAGATTCGGTAGGCAGCTTCAGGAATGTCTTCGCCAGGATCGGCGATTTCGACCCTGCAGACCTCGTGCCGTGTGCGGATTGGGTGCTCTACGAGTCCCAGGAGTCCAAGAGGCAGTACATCGAAGTCACAGGAGCATGTTGGGGAGCCGAATTGAGTGTTGAGAACAAGTGCGCGTGCTCTCGTATTGGAGTAGTGAAAGTAGTGCAAGGTACTGATGAACTTTTGAGAGTTTTGGCTATTGCAATCCTCAGGCTTACGTATGGACAACCTTGTAGCTAGCCTCGTGCTTCATGCACTGACGAACGCGCAGAGCCCTTGCTAAGTGATGACGGAGACAGGAGATTCCGACGGCTTGGATCTTGTGGATGGCTCCTACCGGGCGCGATGCCACGAAGTGAACTGGTGGCTGGCACCCTCCTGTCGCTCAAATTCCTCTGCCCCTTAGCTTGAGCAGCCTCGGTTCCCGAGGGGTAAGTTTTTCTCAGATCTTGACAACTTGCGCAACATCCCGGAAGTCCAAAGACCTCACCAGCATCCACCAGGATCCTCTCCCATGGCACACTGTCACTAAACATATCTGAACCTCATTGAGTGAACGCCTTGACACCTCGGGGATGGGGGATGCCATCAAAAAGCGCTCTCGCGGGGGAACATGGCGAACGTTGCATAAGGGAGCAGCGCGCCGCTCACACAGCCTCTCACAGCGTTTCAAAGTGCAGCGGCTCAGCTCAGCCCGTCTGAGAGGCTTTGAGGCTTCCAACCTTCCAACCTTCCCGACCCCTGCTCAACATACCCTCACAAATGCAGCTGTAGCACATGTTAGGGCGGATGGCTGTGAAGAGCACGGAGCAACAAAGCAAAGCAAGAGTGTCTCGAGGTGTGCATTCCTTGCCTGACATGCTACACCTGGGGAGTGGCGTGGTATTTCGAGATGATTATGACAAAAGCAGGTGTGTGGAAGATGCCGCTGGCAATCGGTGCGGGCACAGGCTGTGGGCCAGGGGGATCTTTTGAGCGACTCCCGCACACTCACAACACTCTCTTCTACTATTGGGCGCCGGATGCAATGTTCAACTCACTGCAACCGATTCCAATCACCTTTCCAGCAACGAACCGCAAATCCTGGCGCCAGTATGACATGTCAACCACAATGGCCTTGGTCCAGGCTGAGACCGTGGTGAGCACCGACATGTCAAAGTGGGCTCCAGAGGTTACAACTTTCCTGAAGAAGATGTGGTTTGGGTCCGAGGAGATGAATGAGCTTCTGGCCAATTCTAGTGGAAAAGATTGGAGTGGTCTGCGCGATGTGGCCTGCGAGTGGATCAAGCAGCATGAAGATGTCTGGAGAAGCTGGGTGCCAGTGAAAACGAGCTGCTTGCCAGGCCAGGGCATGTTCTCTGCAATTGCAGAGTCCTTCGTCCAAGCCCGCGAGAATGCTTCGACCTGCCAAGCATGCCCGCCAGGGAGATATTCTGCTCTGATTGGGGACGACATCGGGGACACGGCTGAGTGTCGCGTATGTCAACCAGGATTTAGCCAGAGTGCACACGCGGCTGTGAGCTGTACTCCATGCGCCCCTGGGACCTTTTCGGACGAGAGCGGCTCCACTTTGTGCCAGAAGTGTGGGCAAGGGGAGTATCAAGATCGAGAAGCAAGTGCTGCTTGTCGCGCCTGAGCTGAACCATTGCAGGGTGGCTGGGGTGAGGGGGGCTTGGTTTTGGGATCCCAAACAAAGATGGAAAGCCGTCAGGACATTTGCTAACAGTGAGGGGCTGGGTGTCCGATGTCAATGTTCAGGTCCTTGCGGCCAGTTTGAGACGACGCGCCTGCTCGGCGCCAGCCAGCGCAGCCACTGCGAGTGTGAAAGCGGCTCATGGTGGCAGCAAGACGAGAACTTTACTGGGTGCCATCCCTGTTCACTGGGCATGTAGCCTCAGCTGAGCTGAGAAACACTTTCGATTCTTGTTGGGTTCTTGGGTTCTTGGGTTGTAGTGTTCGCAATCAGGAAAGTCCAACCAGGCCGGTCGCTGGACAACTTTGACTCAGCAACCCCGCCAAAAACCCGAAACCCCAAACCCATATTTAGCCCTGCAGACCCCTGAGGCCCTAAACCCTAAGCCTAAGCCCTAAACCCCAAGCCCTAAACGCTAAACTGGCCCTAAACCCTAAACCGTGTAAGGAAGTGCCTGGGCGGTCTGGCCCCACCACAACAGCAACAGGGCTATTGGGCGATGCAGGAGTGAATCGAAGTGGGTAAGAGCCGTAATTCCTGTACCCAACCCTGAGCCCTACAACCTAAACCCAAACCCTCAACCAGAGCAGCCTGGAATTGCAGGAGATGCGAAATGGCAAGATGCAGCTTTCCGTATTCGCTTGCTACAGCGATCTCCAGTGTCCCGCAGGTGGGAGACGTTGACATGTACTTGATCCCACGTTTTCCTGCAAATGTGATCTTCACCGCACTAGATAGACTTGATGCTTAGCGCGTAGGGGAATGGAAAAAACAGATCAAGCTGATGTGAGCGCTTGGCCAGGCGTTCCTGGAACCTGCGCCGGAAACCGCGTTGGACTTGCCTGCGCAGCATGTTTGCCAGGTCATCATCAGGCAGCCATGGGTGACTGCAAGCCATGTGATGGCGGCTTGCTGCTTCTTCTGCCCATGTTGGTCGTGGTACTCACATTCTTGCCTTTCCTGTGCAGTGTTCTGTGCAAATGCCAATCACGTTATTCATCTGCAGCACCAACAGTTGCAGCCAGCTTGGCGATCGCTGTTACATTCGCTGCGCAGGGCGTGTACGGCATGCAGTCCCTGCGCATCATTCGTCAACTTGAGATCAAGTGGCTGGACCCTGCGAAGTCGCTGTTGGCTGCGTTGTCTTTCATTTCGATTGATTTCGATATTCTGGGCCTGCCGTGCTACGTTCCGGAAAGCAATCCGATTGCCACATATGCCTTTCAGTTGATGGCCTTGCCCACTTTTGTGCTCGCCTCCCTGCTGCCTGGGATACTGGCTCGGATGCTCCGCCGTCCATTCAAGTTCCGCATCGTGTTCAACATCTGGGCCTTGTTGTTTGTCTCGTTACTCACAGCCATCACGCTGATGTGCTTCAAGCCGTTCGAGTGCCGGGAAAACCCCAATGGCAAGTTCACCATCTTTGAGTATGCACACGTGTTGTGCTGGGAGTCCAACAGCCACGCCATGCTCGTAGGGATCTCCTTCATTGGCATTCTGGCATATCCCGTCAGCATCCTGGCGTGGCTCCTATATCTCACGTGGTACTACCCAACCTGGCTACTATCAGCCAGCGGCATCAACACGGTTGAGAAGTACCGCTTCTTGTTCGGTAAGTTCCGGCCAGAGCGATACTACTACTGTGTGCTGCTCAGCATAGGCAATCTGCTTGTGGGCTGCATCCCGGGATGCTTCGCGTCGTTTCCCGCACTTCAAGTTGGCATTATGAGCTTTGTCCTGTGGGCACGGAATGCGCTGCATTGCCTGCTGTGGCCCTGGAGGATTGAAGTCGCGAACTGGAGCGATTTGCTTCTGCAGGGAGGTGTCGCGCTGCTTCTCAGCTTGGCTGCACCTCTGAACCTCGAGGTTCAGATCGGAGATCGCAGCGAGTACGTCTTGACTGTTGGCATGTCCATCGTGCTGGTTTTGCTGCCCGCCAGCATCTGCCTTGCAGCCATTCTGGCTTTATATTTCCGGGCGGGGAAGCAGAATCGATACACCACTTTCATCTCCCACCAGAAGGCTTCGGCGGGCATCTTCTGCCGTTACCTGAAGATTGTGATGGCAAAGCATGCTCGAACCAAAGTCTTCTACGACTCGGATGACCTCCTGAATTTGGGAGATCTTTTCGAAACAGTTCGGACCAGGACTGAGAGCTTCCTGGCAGTTTTAACGCCCGGCTTCATTCAAAGCGTGTGGTGTGTTGGAGAACTTTCCATGGCATTCCACTGCGGTCTCCCAATTTTTGCCTTGTGCTGTGATGGGCATAAGATACCAGAGTATCTCGATGTGAACCAAATTGAGTCTAGTTGGCCCGCAAACGAATTTCAGCTGCTTATTGCTCATGGAGTTGGACGGGCGGAGGTTCAGGCGGCCCTGGCTTACCTCAATCGGCTGGAACATTTTCAGCTTTCCCGGACAGCACCTGGTGCAGAACAGGAAGCGGTAGCACACATGGTCATGGGAGCTATTCTCGGGAAACTGGGTGCCAAGCCAGATGACTTTTCGACTCTGGAGAGGGCTGCTGGTGAAGGCGAGGTGAGCAAGGCGCGCGTGCTGGTCGCCTCCAGCACCAGCACGCAGTCGATGTCCACCAGCCTCGTGATCCAGCAGCTGATGCAGTACCAGCTGCAAGAAAGGGTCTGCCACGTGTTTCGGGCCGAGGAGATCAAGGCAGCTCACCGAGCCTCCTCGGGGATCATTGTCCTTGGAAAGGGCAGCTTGGAGGATGAAGCTTTCTCAGAGCTGGTCCTGGCCATTCCAGGGACCTTGACGAGGCTCCTTGTCAACGATGGGTCCTTCGAATTCCCGACCCACGATTTCTACCGCCGGATCCGGGATGGAGAGCTAGGGCTGCGTGGAAACCCGCACGAGATCAGCGCCACCTACCAGGGCCTTTGTTCCTCCTTGGCGGTGCCCTTGACACCAGCCGGTCCCAGCTGGCTGCTTGATCGACAGATCAGCCAGATTTGCAGAAGGTTGGGCCGGTTGGGAACTGAGACGAAGAGCGTCTCCCCCGAAGACTTTTCCCGTCCTCCTTCTGACAGCTGGCTGAATCGACCCAAGAGCTGGCTTTGGGAAGAAGAGCAGGAGGAAGAAGATGGAGAAAGAAGCCGTAGCTCTTACGTGGAACAGGCGTTCTGATTTTCTACATTGACTTTGGACACAAATGACAAAAGCATCGAACGATGCAATACCAATAGTTCTCCTTCCGTGTGCGCAACATGCACTAAGAGGCGCTCCCAAGGAGCTCTCAAAGCAGTAGCTCTAAAGAGCAAGAAGTGCTTCTGAGTAGAGTAGACTTCGGCTGTGGGCCGGTTTTTCTGAGCTCAGAGTTCAAGGCTAGGCATAGGGTTTTTGGGGCCATTGAGGCAACACCGACTTTCTGAAGTGGGCGAGCCGGTCTACGCCGATGTCTTGCGGGCGCAGAGAAGCCATGTTTGGTTTTTTTTTAGAGTCATGCCGGTGCACTCAGTGCAGAGTGTGACCAGTGTGGAGTGTGACATGCCCATGAAAAGAGTCGCCGTGCCCGGGCTCGTGCTTGCGCGTGCAGCTTCCCTGGTAGAGGAAGGAAGGCCGAAGCTTCCCTGGGAATGTACAGAGTCAAACGCAGACTTCGCCCAGTTCCAGGAGTGCGCGAACTACCTTGGCCCCAATGGCTTCGATGCGGTGCAGGTCTCACCCGTGACCGAGCATATCCTCGGGTCGGATACTTGCAGAACGCAGAGAACCCTAACCCTAAACCCTAAACCCGAAACCCTAAACCCTAAGCCCTAAGCCCTTTTCTCGGCTCTTGATCAGTCTTCCGCTTGCTTGGCTCATGGCCAAAGCCTTCGCGCCGTCTCGCACGCTCTCTCGCACTCACTGATCTGTAGAAGCTTCTGGTGATGTGCGGAACCCACGGAAGCCATATGAGGGTGACCCCAAACCCCAAACCAAAAACCCTCCCAAGCCGCGAAATTCCCTACATGTCTCGCGCACGGCGAACGCTGCAAGGAGTGGTTTACCAAGTACCAGCCCATTGGCTTCGGCCTCAACTCCCGCTCGGGCAGTGAGGCCATGAAAGCGATGTTGATTGGGGGGGGGGGGCCTTCACGGGGTTCAAAGAGAGAGAGAGTTCAGTCGAAGCTCCCAGGGGGCCCCAGTTCTTTGGGAAAAAAAGCTTTGGAAGTTTCATTCAGGCCGTGCTCAGGTGTCAATGCTTTTGCTTCTTCAACGGGGCCCTCGTAGCATTTACGGGAAGGGGTGCGGGGAGCAAAGTTCAGGATCCTGCAAGTCTCGGAAGTCTCGGAGCACTGTTTTGCCTTTTTTGTTGGGTGTATGTTCTTTGTATCGTTTGTCTGCGTGATTGTCGAGTCGGACTTTTTTCGTGCTGTTGTGCTGCTTGCTCATCTTGCGCATGTCAGCTTGGTGCAGGGCCAGTTCAAAGAGATGGTCGCGAAGTGCCGCGCTGCTGGGGTTCAGGCACGAGGGTTCTCTCAACAGTGTCGCTGACAGTGGGGGGGGGGGGGGGGGGGGATGCTGAGTGGGGCACCCAGAAGCAAGTCGATCTCATGTCGCCTTTTCTCCCTGAAACCTGCACCTCCTAAACGCCTGAGCTCGCGAACGCAAATCTGCACTAGCAAGGGAGAACCTGTGCCTCCCTTCTCGAAACCATGAGATCTTGGGATGTTCCCCCCTTATACTAGCAGTTTTTTTATAGGGGCTTATAATCGGGGGTACTATATTCCATGTGAAGGACTTTTTGTTTGAGGGGGAACATCCCAAATTAGATCCCAACAGGTCATCGTGGATGTGATTCTCAACCACGTCGCCGCGCCATGCCAGGCTGCCATCGAGGCACAATTCTCAGAACTGGTCTCTTCGCACAGGAAGATTGGTAAGTTTCTTTGGTTGGGGTCTTGTGTGCGTGCTGCTGCATACCTGGAGGAGGCTCCTTGCTGAAGTTTGTAACCTCGAGGGTTTGTGGATACTTGTTGTCATTTAGGATGCTACTGAGTTCTGGGGACTGGGAGGAAAGTTGGAGGGCGGACTTCTAGGAGTCAGCGTTGGGGCTTGGAGTGTGCCCACACACCATTCTGCAAACCTCCGAACGAAGTCACGAAGTCTTCACGATACAGAAACATATTCATGCAGATAGATTCATGCAGATTGGCATGAATCACAGGTCCTGCATTGTCCTTTGTGATCAATGGCTTGTTGAGCTCATGACGCAGACCCCGTTTGGAGTGAAAGTGGTGTTTTTTTTTGTGCAGGCAGGCGGTGCGGTCGTGATGCCCTGCAAGGACTGTTGGGGGTTTCGGATAGAGGGCTTAGGGACCTCGGGATATGCGAGTTTGACATCGCAGACGACCAGCCTTTGGGGGGGTCGAGGAGGGGGTTTTGGGTTTGGGGGTTTGGGGCTGTATTTTCATGGGTTGGCCCAACCCCCTTCTCGGGGTGCAGATGGGGGGGTTGAACTCGGGGGTACCGATGGAAGGGGTTTGGTTTCGACGTTTGGGGCTGTATTTCAAGCACAGGTCTAGGAGGGGGGGGGGGGTTGGGTTTAGGGGTTTGAGCCTTTTGGTGTAGGGATTTGGGCCTGTATTTCAAGCAAACCCCGGTCAAGATGGGGCGGGTTGGGTTTGGGGGTTTGGGGTTACAAGCAAACCCAACCCCTTGTCGGGGTCGAGATGGGGGGGTTGGGTTTAAAGGTTTGGAGGCTGTTTCACTGAAACATTGTTTCGGATTCAGGGGTGCTCTGCACTTTCGGGGGCAGAATCTCTAGTCTCGTGTTGGGGCTTCGGGGTTTCCACTGGACCTTTCGAAAAAGTGTCGGACTTGCACTGCGCTCTGCGAGCACTTATGCGAAGTTGCTTCGCAGCGAACTTCCCCTAAACCCTAAGCCCTACAGCCCTAAATCCCATGCAGCGAGCGAGACATCTAAACGGAAAGTCTTGGAGAGCCTCAGCTTAGAAGCCTGTGAAGTCCTCCCTAAACCCCTGCACCCCCCTAAGAAGAGGGCCGCGCGCCCGCGCAAACACAAAGAGATTGACGGATGCAGGGATGGGCCGGCTCGCCCTACGGGAACCGGAGGATCAACTCCCAGGCGCCCCTCCTTTTTTTTTCCCCCCTCCCCCCCTTCCACCCTTCTTTCTCGGAGGTTGTAGGGCTTTACAGGGTTTTGTAGGGTTTTGTGGGTTGGAGGATGTTTTTGGGTTCAGGGGTTCTCGCACCGTTTACGGGTTATAGGTTTGGGGTTCAGGCTCGTCGTGGTTGCCTGGGCGGTGTTCGCTTAGGTTGGTGGACTAATGCAAGAACTTCCTGGAAGGCAAAGAGCCACCCTCCACTTTTGGCATCCCCTTGCCCCTATCCCCCATCAGAATTCTGATCATGCTGGCTCAAAGCCCTAAACCTAAACCCTAAACCCTAAACCCTAAACCCTAAGCCCTAAACCCTAAACCCTAAACCTTAAACCCTAAACCTTAAACCCTAAACCCTAAAGGCAGCCTAAGACTGATCGCTGCTCTTCGACCCCTACCTTCCCTTTCAGTCCAGCGCCTGGAGGATGGCTGGAAGGGCCCCGAGCTTTTCCACAACCGCCAGGCCGGGGTTTAGGGTTTAGGGTTTAGGGTTTAGGGTTTAGGGTTTGAAGGATGTTGTGGATGACGGGGTTGGAGTTGGAGAGGGAGCACTTGGCAATCCTGGTACCCTGGTGCTGAGGCCATTGACGGCAACCTCCTGGGCAACTGCCCTGTTGAGGAGCCCAGCTTCACGTGTCCGCAGAGTGCCTGAGACGCGATGGTATGTGTTTTTGTGAGCCCATCTCGCAAAGCAGTAGTCCAGTAGGACTCACTGCAAGCTGACTCAGCAAGCACTCAAGTTCTCTCAAGATATGCTGATCTTCGAGTACGCTCTAATGCCCAGCCTAAGGTGACCCTCCTGGTGACTGCACGCAATGCGACTTCAAAGGCCTCCCTGACGCTTGGTCTGATGCAACTTCCATTTTTTGCAGAAAGAGCATTCGCCGAGCCAAGAGAGCCTAGGACTGGAACACGGGTCTGCAGCCCACGCACCTCAGCTCAAATCGAAGAAGGCTCAGGTCGTCAAGACATCGGAGCCAGGCTCGTAAGTCTGGGTGACCTTTTATGCTGACGACGCAAGCAGGGGGCTGGAAAGACTAGGCCAGCAGCTCCTTGCTCCGAGCAGCCTGTGGATTCCCAACCCCCCCCCCCCTCTTAACTTCGACACCGACCTTGAGAGCAAAAACTGCAGAAGAGCAAGACCTCCAAGGGGCTAGTGGCAGTAGGGGGTTCTGCCCGCTCGTTGCCCCGAAGGCGCGACATCCTGGTGAAGCATCTCACGGAGCCTTGGGGCAAGACGTGGTAAGGGAATATTGGGCGAGGTGAGTTCTGGTTCGTGTCAGTCCGGGGAGTCCCCCCTCTTCGTGCCCTTTTCAGCCGAGGAGTTGCACGATCTGGGTGTAACAATGCTCCGCCTCGATGCAGCAAGCCCTTCGGCTTCTTGTGCGTCCGGCGGCTGGTCAAACAGGGCTCCCGACAGCTCCCCACAGCTCCCACGCAGCCCAGGCTACGTCTCCACGGAGGATTTGGCAGCGAACCTTGGGCTTAGACAAAAGAACCGGGCAACAAAGGCGGCTGCCTGCAGAGAAGCTCTTTTGGGCCCTTAACGAGTCTCTCCTGGCTGACGTGTGACCTGCTCCACATGGCGGTTTCTGAAAACAGGGGTTTACACCTTTTTTTGGGGGGTCCCTTTAAGGGGATTCTGTTCTACTTGGGGTGGAAAATCGGGGTACCCCTTTTTTGGGAAGCTTGGAAGGCCTGAGCCGAAATCCCCCCATGTGTTGGTGTAACTCCGGCCAGTGGGGGCGTCCGAGGATCATCAATCAGCTGCCCTGGGACTTGGTGCACCTCGGCACAGAAGCGCTTGATTTCTCTGGCGCAAGTTCTTGTTCGGAGATGGAGTGAGGTAGCCAGCAAAGTTGTGGGGGTTGCGAGGCCTTGCTCAGCAGGCTATACACGGACGCGAGCCGGTAAAGCGAGTCGTTGCTTGGAATGGGCCAGGTACCAGGAGTGGTGGGGCGGCGTGCCTCTCGAAGAGAGGAGACTGCTTGGCCTGAGTGCAGCCCATGCTGCAGCATGTATTGACATCCCTTAACCCTACACTGAGCATGGAATAGATCAGGTGCAGACTCATATTGCAGCTGGGCAGCTCGTATTAGGTGTCCCGCCAACATGGGTTGTCAGGTGGGTTTCATCAGCGAAACCTCAACGAAGCCTGCTCGGTGCGAGGAGCGTGGCCGTCGGGCACTACCGGGATCAGAAGTATGGGCTGAAGATGCTCAGCTGCGGTGAACATGCAACCCTCAGAAAGGAAGTCGTCAAATAGCAAGGCCTAAACGAAAGTCTGAAAGAACGTTGCTGTGCCCCGCCAGCGGTTAAATGCTTGGTCACGGCCTCCGTGGCAGGCCGTCTAATCAGGCCATGGTATCCTCTGCGGCTGTTTCCTATGGTGGGCCGCCGCTAGCGGTAGCCGGAAAAGGCTCCAAAGTTCCGGATTCTGCATGCCAGTTGCGAGTTCTTCTGAAGGCGCCTTGTGGTAGCATGCCCCGAATCTTCCAAAGCCTCTGAAAAAGGCTAGTTCGCGGATTGGAGCAAGCAAAAACAGCAACCCAGAACGTCTTCTGCGTTGCACAAAATCCTGCGAGCCTATGAGGGCTCAAGTGTGAACTCTGAGGATCACCAATGCCCTGGGCGTGGGCGACGCCAAGTACATGCCGGAGAGGGAAGTTTTGTGGGAGTCGTCTTTGGGCGTCCCCCTCCTCTCTTGCAATTCTGTCTTTCGGAAGGGCTTCTTTCTGAAGCTCCAAGCTTTTGTGGCTGACAAGATTCATGGAGATTCCGCAGCCCAGTCGGGAGTCTCTAAGCTAGCATTCCCTCACATTGCCTCTCCCCTTGGAACGACCTGGGATGCTTTCGTTCTCTTGAGGAGCTCTTGAACATTAGCCACGGCATCGATGGCATCCCCCCAGAGCGCGCCGTCTACCCGCTGACCTTCCACGACCAGAGGCCCGTCCTAAGCACGGGAGTTGGAGTGAAGACTTCCCTGCTGCCCTTCCGTGGCCCTACATCTTCTAGGCGGTGTAGGCCAGTGCAGGCCCACCGTAGCGGCTGGAGCGTTCATGATCACCAGCAGAGAGCCCGCTCCACACCTCATCAGGCGAACGTGTCGAGCCCCAAGCCTGTGACTTGCGCAGCGCAGGACTTTCGAGGCTGATCGCTTCGTCCCGACCTTCAAGAACGGCTTGGACCCTCGTTCGGTCATGTTCGGTCTAAGTTTTCGGAGCGTTCTGTGAGCTGGAGATGCACAAAAGGGGGCTTGAATCCACCAACGTGGATGCTTCAACGGGCAGCCGCATGATGAGCCGCCTGAGCCTAGGAGTTTCATCAGCAGCAGAAGTTCATGCTCGCCTGGCCGGAGGCGGTTGGCGTGTGCCAGGCTTGCAATCATTTTGTCATGGGCTGGTGGAGGCGCTCGAAATCCAGGGCCCAGAACCCTAAACCCTAAACCCTAAACCCTAAACCCTAAACCCTAAACCCTAAACCCTAAACCCTAAACCCTAAACCCTAAACCCTTGATAGCTCGCGGATGCGATGTCTCAGCTTCGAATGCTTGATAGAACCTCCTCCTTGGAAGCATCGTGGACATGTCGGGCATGTGCAGTCAACCCAAAAGCGCTCGGGAGCAAAGGCGCCTCTTTGGCGGCTACACCTTCACGGACATGGATGCGGGACCCCCTGGAAACTGCGACATGGTTGCAAGCATTTTATGGGATTCTGCAGTAAGTGAATGGGAGTCATGCAAGCCAACAAGCCAAGGTGGGAACGGCCGATGCCAGCCATTTCCCGTGTACATGTTCAATGATGCCGAGCCTCGCTGCACCTTGGGCTAAGAGGTCTGCCTCCTCACTCTCCTTGGAATCTCCCAGACTTTTATGTGTATAATGTTGGGTTAGAGTTGGCGGTAGTCTGCCAATGACCCAAGGCAAATCTCTTTCGCACTGAATTCCTGAGTCTTCCTGGCAGTTTTTTTGAACCTGGGCTCAATGAACGGCTTCCAAGAACACGAGTCTCTCACAGATTGCCTCAAGCGCGTTTCGTGAGGCTTGAAGCAGCACAGGCAGATCTTTTTCAACGTGTCGCCTGCAACCTTTGCACCTTTGCATCCAAGGGTACCCCTTTTGTACCCCAAACTGCAACAGAAAAGAACCCCCTTACAGGGACCCCCCAAAAAGTAAAAGGGTACCCCTATTTTTGGACACCCCAAGATGTTTTCAGGCATGCCGACGCCCACGACATCCCCATTGGCAACCGACTACGAGGTCCGGGGTGTGAACCGCGGCCCACCCGCCAACATGCGAAAGCAGTCTCCCTCTTGAGATTCTGCCCCTACTGCCCTAAACTCGGAAACCCCAAAGCCTAGAAACCCTAAAACCCTAAACCCTAAACCCTAAAACCCAAGAGACCCGAAACCCTAAACCCTGCAACCTAAAAACCTTAAACCCCCAACGAAGAACTCTCGCCCCTCAGGGCTGGGTCTGTGAGCACCGCTGGGAGGGTATCGCCGGCCTTGTGGGCTTCCGCAAGGCAGCTGGGTTCCCTGAACCAAGGCATATACCTTACATTGCAAGGCATATACCTTACATTGCAACAAGCCATCCTGGTAGGACTTGAGGGGGTTGTTTGATGAAGGGGTAGTGGGCTCCCTGGGGCCATTCTTCAAGGCTTCTCGGCAGTTGATTCGGGGGAGGATCTGGGATATCGCAGGGAAGAGGAGTCCGAATGCCGTAGACAGGGCAGGCCCTGTTCTTGTCTCAATGATTCCGGGGTTTTTCTTGTTCTTACTGTTGCCTTTCACTAGGGCTTCTATCCGACCATTGGCTAGGGCTCCGTGCCCTGGAGGCTTCTGCAGGAGTGGACTTGCGGTGCGGAGGAAGAGTACAGAGTACAGTGAATGATTGGGGCGTCTTGCGCTCATTTCATTCCTTTGGGTGTCCTGGCGGCCTCGGTCGCCTCTTAAGCAGACCCTCCAGACACTCGATCCTAAAAGCGTGCAACGAGCGCAAAGAGCCCAACTTTTCAAGCCTTCCTAGCGCCACAAAGAGCCCCTTCTGCTTCAGGCTTGTCGCGGGCTTCCCGTTACGCAGACGTGGTCGGAGTCGAGCATTCCATCTGTAGGCGCGGGCTAAGCATATAAGGAGCTTGTGGCACTCTTGTGCAATTCTTGTGCGGCCGGTACAAGCTAAACCCGAAACCCTAAGCCCTAAACCCTGAACCCTAAACCCTAAACCCTAAACCTGTCAAGTTCTCATCGAGCCGATTCTGGAGCCCTGTGACCTATGTAGACTTCCTGGACCCATCTTTCAAACCGAATCATGTTTTGGGGGTTTCCTAAATTCGGGGGGGACCTGACTGGGCTCCTTATTCTAAGGCAATCATGCCGCGGGACATTGGGGGCCCCCTCTTTTCGTACACCCCCAAAAGTCCGAACCCCCATATCCCAGACATACCCCAGGACCGATCCTGAGACTTGGGGAAGGAACCAAGAGCAGCATGATGGGCCCTCAAACGCCCCAACCTCGCCAGAACACCTTAAGCTTGGGCCTAAACATCCGTGAACGTCATAAAGCCCCAAGCCCTCAACCCAGACTCCTTACCACTTCCGGACGTTCCAGGACTAGGACGCTTTGCTTTCCGCGCTGGTCCCGACTGCTTCGTTGCACTGGTGCGAGGTGACAACACACGGCCGTGCAGCTGCAACGTTGGCACTTTCGGGTTTTTGGGTATGCAGCGTTTAATTTGGGTTCAAGATCGTGGTTGAAGCCTGTTTGGACCCGTTGTTGCCATGTTGTGCAAGTTGAATGCTTCCGAGCTTGCATCGAAGCGTCCAGGCTGCTACAATCGAAATCCAGACCTCTTGATACCCTAGGGCCTCCTTGGTGACTCGAAGCTGAAGCAGCCTGTAGCCACAGAGCTCACAAAAACTGCATATTCACATATCATTGTCTTTGTCACTCCCTCTGTTGCTAAAAGTACTGGTACTATCTTGAGTTCCCTTATGATGGTTACAGAGACTGCTGCTACATATGTGTAAACACATGCGAATTTGTAATCCCATATAGAGCCCTTCAGAACTTGATTGGGATGCTCCCCCCTATCCTAACAGTCCTTCATAGGGACTCTACTAGGGGGTACGATAGTCCCGATACTAACAGCCCTAAATAGGGATTCTCATAGGGGGTTACTGCAGTCCCTACTCCCTGTCAGTATAAAGGGGGTGAACATCCCAACTTGTGTTCCTCTTAGGTGGCCCAACTACTGGGGCAACCTCGGCCCTTGGCGGCTCGCAGGCGTGAGAAGCTGTGGAATCACCGGAGGAAGCTGCCATATATATGTATATATATATGTGAGAGAGCCCTTTCGGGTCTATTTTGCGTATCCTCTTCCTTGCCTTCTATTTAATTAATTTAATTAATTTAATTAATTTAATTAATTTAATTAATTTAATTAATTTAATTAATTTAATTAATTTAATTAATTGAATTAATAGAAATCAACAAATTTCTTTTGCGAATTCAATTAATTTAATTAATTCAATTAATTGGATTAATTGAATTAATTGAATTCGAAAAACCTCTTTCGCTAATTCAATTAATTCAATTAATTCAATTAATTGGATTAATTGAATTAATTGAATTCGAAAAGCATCTTTCGCTAATTCAATTAATTCAATTAATTCAATTATCTGTTTTTTTTTTTTTAAAACAAAGATTTTCCCTCTATTGAATTAATTCAATTAATTCAATTAATTCAATTAATTCAATTAATTCAATTAATTGGATTAATTGAATTAATTGAATTCGAAAAGCATCTTTCGCTAATTCAATTAATTCAATTAATTCAATTAATTTGATTAATTGAATTAATTGAATTCGAAAAGCATCTTTCGCTAATTCAATTAATTCAATTAATTCAATTAATTGAATTAATTGAATTAATTGAATTAATTGAAATAATTGAATTAATTGAATTAATTGAATTAATTGAATTAATTCAATACGCGGGAAATCCGGATTTCGATTAGGGAACCCCACATAATTGAATTAATTGAATTAATTGAATTCGAAAAACCTCTTTCGCTAATTCAATTAATTCAATTAATTGGATTAATTGGATTAATTGAATTAATTGAATTCGAAAAGCATCTTTCGCTAATTCAATTAATTCAATTAATTCAATTATCTGTGTTTTTTAAAAAACAAAGATTTTCCCTCTATTGAATTAATTCAATTAATTCAATTAATTCAATTAATTCAATTAATTCAATTAATTCAATTAATTGGATTAATTGGATTAATTGAATTAATTGAATTCGAAAAGCATCTTTCGCTAATTCAATTAATTCAATTAATTCAATTAATTGGATTAATTGAATTAATTGAATTCGAAAAGCATCTTTCGCTAATTCAATTAATTCAATTAATTCAATTAATTGAATTAATTGAATTAATTGAATTAATTGAATTAATTGAATTAATTCAATACGCGGGAAATCCGGATTTCGATTAGGGAACCCCACATAATTGAATTAATTGAATTAATTGAATTCGAAAAACCTCTTTCGCTTATTCAATTAATTCAATTAATTCAATTAATTGGATTAATTGAATTAATTGAATTCGAAAAGCATCTTTCGCTAATTCAATTAATTTAATTAATTCAATTATCTGTTTTTTTTTTTAAAACAAAGATTTTCCCTCTATTGAATTAATTCAATTAATTCAATTAATTCAATTAATTCAATTAATTCAATTAATTGGATTAATTGAATTAATTGAATTCGAAAAGCATCTTTCGCTAATTCAATTAATTCAATTAATTCAATTAATTGGATTAATTGAATTAATTGAATTCGAAAAGCATCTTTCGCTAATTCAATTAATTCAATTAATTCAATTAATTGAATGAATTGAATTACTTGAATTATTTGAATTAATTGAATTAATTGAATTAATTCAATACGCGGGAAATCCGGATTTCGATTAGGGAACCCCACATAATTGAATTAATTGAATTAATTGAATTCGAAAAACCTCTTTCGCTAATTCAATTAATTAATTCAATTAATTCAATTAATTCAATTAATTGGATTAATTGAATTAATTGAATTCGAAAAGCATCTTTCGCTAATTCAATTAATTTAATTAATTCAATTATCTGTTTTTTTTTTTTAACAAAGATTTTCCCTCTATTGAATTAATTCAATTAATTCAATTAATTGAATGAATTGAATTAATTGAATTAATTGAATTAATTGAATTAATTGAATTAATTGAATTAATTGAATTAATTGAATTAATTCAATACGCGGGAAATCCGGATTTCGATTAGGGAACCCCACATAATTGAATTAATTGAATTAATTGAATTCGAAAAACCTCTTTCGCTAATTCAATTAATTCAATTAATTGAATTAATTCAATTAATTCAATTAATTGGATTAATTGAATTAATTGAATTCGAAAAGCATCTTTCGCTAATTCAATTAATTCAATTAATTCAATTATCTGTTTTTTTTTTTTTAAACAAAGATTTTCCCTCTATTGAATTAATTCAATTAATTCAATTAATTCAATTAATTCATTTAATTCAATTAATTCAATTAATTCAATTAATTGGATTAATTGAATTAATTGAATTCGAAAAGCATCTTTCGCTAATTCAATTAATTCAATTAATTCAATTAATTGGATTAATTGAATTAATTGAATTCGAAAAGCATCTTTCGCTAATTCAATTAATTCAATTAATTTAATTAATTCAATTAATTCAATTAATTGGATTAATTGAATTAATTGAATTCGAAAAGCATCTTTCGCTAATTCAATTAGTTCAATTAATTCAATTAATTCAATTAATTGAATTAATTGAATTAATTGAATTAATTGAACTAATTGAATTAATTGAATTAATTGAATTAATTGAATTAATTGAATTAATTCAATACGCGGGAAATCCGGATCTCGATTAGGGAACCCCACATAATTGAATTAATTGAATTAATTGAATTAATTGAATTCGAAAAACCTCTTTCGCTAATTCAATTAATTCAATTAATTCAATTAATTCAATTAATTGGATTAATTGAATTAATCGAATTAGTTAGATTAATTAAATTAATTAAAGTGTCCATAATCTGAGTTATCATAATTATGATAACTTTAGGTTCCCAAACCTGAGTTATCATGATTATGATAACTTTAGGTTCCCAAACCTGAGTCATCATAATTATGATAGCTTTAAGGTCCCCAGTCTGAGTTATCATGATTATGATAACCTTAGGTTCCCAAGCCTGAGTTATCATAATTATGATAACTTTAGGTTCCCAAACCTGAGTTATCATAATTATGATAACCTTAGGTTCCCAAACCTGAGTTATCATAATTACGATAACTTTAGGTTCCCAAACCTGAGTTATCATAATATTGATAACTTTAGAGTCACCAACTGGAGTTATCATAATTATGATAACTCCTTAGGGTCCCACCCCTGAGTTATCATAATTATGATAACTTTTAATTCGCAGCTTCACCTTAAGAGAGAGGCGCGCGAATAGGGGGGTGTAATATCAAGCGATTGTGTGCTACAATATGGAGTAGAGGAAGTGTGCAGGTAGGTGTGCGGGACGATGAAATAAGACTAGTGAGTAGAATGATGAAGCGTTGAGCTCCGAAATCTTAAGGACCATGGCTTGTGATTTGAATCCTTGCAGCAAAAAAAGAGCTTAAAAACTTAAGGACCAAAGCTTGCGGTTTAACTATTCTGGGCAAAAACTGGACCCCAAATCATAGGGACCAGGGCTTGCGATTTGACCTTTTGGAGCAAAAACTGGGCCCAAAATCTTAGGGACCAGGGCTTGCGATGCTACTCTTTGGAGTAAAAAACTCGCCCAAAATCTTCAGGACCAGGGCTTGCGATTTGACTCTTTGGAGCAAAAACTGTGCCCCAAATCTTAGGGACCAGGGCTCGATTTGGCCAAATTTTGCCGGGCAGCCTGCGGGCAAAATTTGGCCAAATCGGGCTGCTCTTCGTATGCCATGAGAAATGCGCGGCTCGATTTGGCCAAATTTTGCCCGGAGGCTGCCCGGCAAAATTTGGCCAAATCGAGCCGCGCATTTCTCAGCGCGTACGACGAGCAGCCCGATTTGGCCAAATTTTGCCCGCAGACTTCCCGGCAAAATTTGGCCAAATCGAGCCGCGATAGTTTAAATAATTTCGGGCCTCCAGAAAGGCGCGGCTCGATGTGGCCAGATTTTGCCGGGCAGTCTGCGGGCAAAATTTGGCCAAATCGGGCTGCTCGTCGAACGCGATGAGAAATGCGCGGCTCGATTTGGCCAAATTTTGCCGGGCAGCCTCCGGGCAAAATTTGGCCAAATCGAGCCGCGCCTTTCTGAAGGCCCGAGATTTTTAAACTATCGCGGCTCGATTTGGCCAAATTTTGCCGGGCAGCTTCCGGGCAAAATTTGGCCACTCTTTGGAGCAAAAAATGCGCCCAAAATCTTAAGGACCAGGGCTTGCGATTTGACTCTTTGGAGCAAAAACTAGGCCCCAAATTGTTAGGGACCAGGGCTTGCGATTTAACTCTTTGGAGCAAAAATTAGACCCAAAATCTTAAGGACCAGGGCTTGCGATTTAACTCTTTTGGGCAAAACATGAACCCAAACTCTCATGGACCAGGGCTTGCG